ACCCCCCCCCCCCCCCGGTCCCAGATTTAGCCAATTTTGTCCAAAAAAATGTTTTAGGAATGCAATGCGCATTTTGTTTACTTCTTTCATCCCAAGAGAAAAAGAGTAATATTTGAGTTAGGTATAACACATTATACTACGTACGTAGTATAATGTAAACTAGAAGTTTTTACATATAATGAATGATAACGTGTACCCCTAAAACTTAGTTCCAAGATTGTTTGAAGTAATGACGTTATTCACTAACCACTTACTACTTGGCTTTACAGGGATTTTACTTGCAGATTAAAGTTGAGTTTTAAACTGGACTCTTTTTATGACAATTTAAAGCTCTAGAATCAGGACTCGTGAAGCATGACTTATATTGGGTTGGAGGATCACAACAACCCTGTTGGATCCTACAAGGACGGAGGGATCACTGAATTTCCAAATTCACCCATATTTACCCTCTATACATTAAATGTATTTGTGTCTTGAAATAAATGAAATGCATTTGATATAAAACTTAAGTAACAATGCAATTCCTTTATATGTGTGCACTCGTCTAAAATATCAATAATTTTGTGGCGGAGTGGTTCAAATTCAATTTGATAACTGCATAAATAAATGACAAATTTTATCTGTCAATGGTGGGAGATGAATGCATCATTCAATCTAGTTGTGAGAACCCATTCCCAATTACCTGAAAATTAAACCCTCCAGTTATACCATCAACATTTAGTACCTGCAGAAATTGGCAGAGATCGAGATATAAGATCCGACATAGCACCTGAAGTAAGCAATCCATGAATAGGGGATCAAACCTCTCCAGCAAAGTATAGACATGGATGAATCCTGCTCTGCATCGTATTCAAGTAGATCTGCCCATTGGATATGGGAGTTAATCTCAGTCATCAAAATGTTTATTAGCTTGATAGGTTTCAGGGTAAGAAAGAATATCACATGATAATGATTGCATAAACATCCCCATAGAGAAAGGATAGAGAAAAAGAAAGAACCTCAGACAACGGAACTCCTCCAGCCGTGACAAATTCATCCTTAAATTGTCCCTTCAGGTAATATGAGAACAAAAATTTCTTTTTAGTGGAAGGACTTACCAAAAGAATGATTAGGTCAAAAGCTAGGCAACTGGAATGCTTTACCTTTCCCTTCACAGTAAAGGACCAATGTTTTAAGGTAAAGGCAATGGACATTAAGGAATTGTTGGAAATGGAAGCCCACAAGATATCCCCTTCTAGTCTCTGCAAGAAACAGCAGACATCTGTAATCTAGAGACTAAAAGACTTTATGGGTATAACATAAACAGTGATCCTGCAACTGGAATGACCATCTAACCTCATGGTCTAAAATATACTTCCAAAATCTCTTGGGCAGGCCAAGTTCCGAGGGACTTGAATTGAGCAACTTTTGTCTCTGGTTGAAAGTGATGATTAATTCGAGAATAACTTAAATCCAAATAAAAGCTGCTGAATAAAATCTTCTATAAGGTAGCTGCGGAAAGCTATAATGTGGCAGCAATTTCTAGCATTATCAAGTTCACCTTCGTCACATCTGCATTATTGCATATCTTAGCTATAAAAAAGTATGCATTTTCAGATTAGTGGCATTGTATGATCTACCAGATGATCATATAGAAACATTGAGTGTTGAAAATGATCTATCATATGTTCATATGATCAATCATGACCTGGCTATAAAAATATTGATCGATCATATATGAATATATGAATATATGATCCATACAAACATGGCCTGGCTATAAAAAATATTGATTATTGAGTGTTGAAGATGATCAATCATATGATCACATCTACTGTGATATACTACGCATAAGTTTCTACTTCTTAAATACAGAGCAGTGAATAAGAATCCATAAACTTCATGAAGTTGAAATGTCTGAAAAGATGTACCGCAGAATGATGCTTGTGATTAAGGAATAGTGACTTCAAATCATCAATTTGATGATCAGGAGCAAAATCCACCAATAGAGTTCCTGCATTAATGTATGTATAGATAGAATAAATGAAGCCATTATACTGGATAATGAATGAAATTCAAACATAAATTATACCCTTGTATTCTGAGCTGGCAAGGTAACGTGCTCCCCAAGCTGATAGCCGAAGGATAACTGGTCCACTAAGTCCCCAATGTGTAACTAGCATGGGCCCAACCTAAGAAATGAACGTTATGATTCTGTTACACGAAAATGCTGCTCCACAATTCAATAACTGCAAGTATTCCCAAAAGCTTGCCTGTGTGAGCTGTGGCACATTGTTCCGAAGGGTTTCTAACTTCAGTTTGGCTTCCACTTTAGGGAATGAGAGCTGGAAAGAGAATCAGAAATATATGGAGAAAGAGCATATGATTATATACCATTGCCTCAATTATCTATGACAAATGAAACAAAGCATGGGTTTATGTCATGAGCAAACACAGGAAGAAGGCAGAAAATAATTTTATGATAAGACTGTAAGAGACTGTAAAGCCAAAAGGTAACCACCCCAGATAACTCCGCCAACCGTAAATCATCAATCTTGAAAGTAAATAAGCTCGGAACAGGTTTTATGACGGAGTGGCCAAGTTGAATGGCAATATTGTAACCCTGAAAGAGCATAAATACATACCAACTGAACGGAGTGGTAGAATTGAGCAGTGTCAAAATATGAAACAATGCACTACAACCATTAAAACGTATAGTATAAAATACCTGCTGACTACTCCCACTAGCAATCAACAAATAGTCTGCTTCTACACACTCAACATAGTCAATAGAACGTTTCTCAAGCTTGACACTGAACTTCCCACCAGTCGTGTAAGACGCACTTGTGACAACCTTTCCAGTCTGCAGTGAGACTGATTGAGAAACTAACATATCAACAGATGGGAAAAAGAACATCTAAGACTGTAAACCATGTGTGTCCTGTTGTATGGAAACATATAACAACATAACAACAACCAACAACCAACAACAACAACCCAGTAGAATCCCACGACACATATAACATAGTGGACCTAGCATACTAGACTACGAGAGAATATACCTCCCCGCTTCTTTGCTTCAGACATGAGGCAATCAATTATAGAAGAGGAACTGTCACTCGCTGGAAATACTCTTCCATCTTCCTCAATCTGGAGCAGACTCAAAATTAGATCTCTCTAACTTTAAACAGAAGATTAGAAAAAGTAAAGGATGAAGAAATCGAATGTGTCTATGGAAATTACTTTAAGCTCCACTCCATTTTCGGAGAACCAAGACATAGTATCCATTGGACCATGGGTCTTGAAAAATGAGCCTCTCAGTTCCTTATTGCCCCTTGGATAGTTGTCTGCCAAAAGCTACAAATTTAAAATTGGTCTTAGCAAGTATAGCTCACATAGTCAGATGTGCCTATTCCCATCCATGAAATTTTTCACTGAGCTAGTGGTATTCCCAATGCTTTATCAGTTAACGAAATCAAATGTGACATGCTCACCATATGATCAGCAAAATGCCCATTCGTCACGTTACAGCGGCCTCCTCCAGAAATTTTCACCTGTTGAAGGACAGCACAGTAAGTTTCTCATACGAGGGAAGTTCACAAGGATTCTATAATACTAACAAATGCAATTGCAGCTTAGAAACGCGCATGAAACATTGGTCTTAGCAAACATTGGAAATCAACTGAGTTATCCAATACAGGCTGGGAGAAGAGGGCCGACCTTCGATAATGGCTTCGCTTTCTCAATTACAACAACTCTGAGATCCGGCGCAACGGTCTTGGCCATAATTGCGCCGTACATTCCGGCGGCGCCACCCCCTACAACCACCAGCAGCTCTTCATCGCTGGACTGGTTATGCAATGAATACCGTGAGTTGAGGAGAAACTACAACTCTACAAGGAATTCAAAGTCCGCACAACATTACCTTGGGATTGGGAGAAAGCGGAAGTGCACTATATCGTCTTCCATGGCGGCCGAAGAATGAATACCTGAAGATATGCACGAGATTTGATGAAGTTTCGAAACGGAAGCCGGCGCGATGGATGAACCGTGGAGAGGCGAAATTCATGACGTTCATTTTGGTCATTGCCGTCGACTAACGGACTGAATTGATTGGTAGAAGCCTGATCATCCCTCCTGGAGAGATTTTGCTCAATGCTCAGGCAGCTTGGCTAATTCGGAAAATAGTCAAAATACTCATTTGGTCCTGTCTTGTTCTTCATTTTACTCCGTATAATTTACACTAAAAAAAACTATTTTAACTTATTTTCAACCAGTTTAAACTTTAAATACGGAGTATAATTTAAATTAAATTAGACTAGTTTTTAATAAAATCAAATTAAATCCTATCAGAAAAATTGGTTTTTGAATGTACTACTATTGTTTTCTGTTAGCATGTGAAAGCTTCAATAACAACAAAGGGTGTTCGCATCTTTTCGCCCCTACCCCGCTCTTATCCATCATATATACCAAAAATGAAATTTGAAAAAATCAACACGCAAATATCTTTTTTTTTAAATCAATAAATCTAATAAATTTATGATGGGTCCGCCAGTGGGCATACCACCTCTCTAAGTCTCTAACTTAGCACTCTCTTTAAATTTCTTTTATACGGAGTATATCTCTAATAATGTATCTCCCTCTTTGATTATGAGTTCAATATAATTTGCAATTTGTTTTCTTTGTTTGTTTCACTGTGGGTTATTAGGTGGAGGTAGATTGAATTTACGTATGTGCATTTTTGTGATGGACCGAGCGGTGATACATGCTCTAGTAGAACAAACACTATATATGTTTACCCGAGTTCAGATAGAAATATGTCCCAACTCCTACATGTTGCCCTTTTATTGGAGTCTTATTCATCAATGAAGTTGGCTCTAGATAATGGTATTTGCAAGTAGATGCCAATTACCTTGATCACAAACATCACAATTCACAGACAAGGAACAATGTCCTACTTGCATTATGTTTTTTTTACTATTATTCCCTCCGTCCATGTAAGATCTTCCCATTACGCGTTACGAGGCTTGACCGACTTAATTTTCAATTCAATTTAATTGATTATAGGAGTAAAATTTTAAAATAAAATTTATATAGTAATAAACTACATGAAAAGTTCTACAAAACTAGAAGTGACAAGACTATATTATTTTATGAAATGACTAATAAAAATGAGCAAACAAAGTGAGTAAAGTTTGACCCTGTAAATAGTGTCTGGGAAGATAAGAGGCAGTACTTTTTAGCACTTGTTTTGTTCCATTTTGGGGTTGTGTCGTTTGTTAATAATTTAGTTGTTAATGTTCTTGCTCTATTTTAGTGTTATTAGTTACGGAGTACTTTCGTTTTGAAAGGAATGAACATGTGCTACCGTCCATTAATTAAAAAAGCAGAGAAGAAATCCACGACGAGGCCATACTTGGTTTTGAGTTTTTAACCAAGCCAAAAAAGAATTCCTCATGAGGTGTGGGAGTAGTCACAACCATATTTTATTTTTGTCATTTATTCGATAAAATAAAATAATCATGCCACTTTTTAGAGATTTTGATATAATTTGTTATGAATTAATTTGTAAATTTTATTTTTTAATAATGTTTGAATTTATCAAATAACTTGTAATGAAAATAAATTTAATCAAACATAGAAAAAAGAAAATTTGAATTGGAATTTGGAACCGATTCGGAATAGTTCATGGAACAGGATATTATGCGAGTGCATGGTTGAAATGTCAATTAAACCCGAATTACTTTTCTTTAATGCCGCCTAAATTTGGGAATTTAACGGCGGAAAAGGCCTTCCGCGTGGAGAAGGTGGAATCAGACACGGCGCGGCGGTGGCGGTGGACCAAATCACCGGCGGCGGAGGCCGCCGCCTCGTCCCCATCAACGATTTGGATTTCCCACAAGGCGGATCTCTTGGCATGGTCGTTGTGGACGAGGGAATGCCTCCACGGCATAACGCCGCCGTACTGCTTCAAGAATTGGCCGTACCGAGTTTTCAGCCGTATGACCCCTTCCCCTTCCATCTCCCATTCCGTCGCCGAGTTCAATTTCTCCGGCAGACTCTGCACCACTTTCTGGCACCTCCCTCTGGGGACTAACGGCATGTTTGACGCCGTCAGGTATTTGCCGTGGCAGCTTTTCAGGCGCATGTAACGCTGCGCCCCTTCCGCCACCATCTCCACCGTCCACAGGGCGTTCCCCGACGACCCGTCGCTGCTCCGCCGCAGCGTTTTCCCGTCCCCGTTCGCCACGAGAAATTTCCCGGTCTTGTATTCCTTGAGCCGGATCACTTTCGCGTGTTCCAAATGCTCCATTTCTGATCCCATCTTGTTGATTGATGGGAGCAGGGATTTGGATAAATGCGTAATAAATTAATTTTAATTTATAGTTTGTTATGATTAATTAATTAAATAATTAATGCTTTTAAAAAAACCTGAATGAATGCAAATGGCTGTACCGAGAGTCTGATCGATATGGAAATGGAAGGCTTAAATCGTGTGGTTTCAGCTTCCAAAGGCCCGGCGATAAAAGAGTACATTTCAAAATTTGTGGATGGGAATTAAATTACTCAACTTAGGGGCTGTTTGTTTCAGCCTCTTAATGGTTCAAATGTCTGAATGGTTCAGCACTTAATGATTCAGATTATTTGTTTCAGCCTCTTAATGGTTCAGATGTCTGAATGGTTAAGAGATTTGCCTCTGAATGGTTAAGTATTATACAGAGTCTGAATGGTTAAGACCTCTTATCTGAATTGATCAGACATTTGCCTCTGAATAGTTAAGCAATATACTAGCTCTTAATGGTTCAGACCTCTAACTGGTTCAGCACTTAATGGTTCAGACCTCTTACTAGTTCAGCACTTACCGATTCAGAAGTTGCCAAACAGTCCCTTAGTATGTTGTCAATACGTTTAACCCTTAAAATAAAAGATAACTACATAAGTGATCTTATATATGTATGATTTTGAATCTTATTTGAATTGATTTTCTCTTGGAAATTCAACAAAATCTAACCACTTGCTTTTTATTTTTTTTAACATTTCTTTAACATATTTTCAATATTTTTCTTATCATACTTTTTTCATTTGTTTTAATTTAAGTGAGTGTTTATCTGTGCTTATAAATTGGTCAAATTTTATATAAACTATTTTTAAAGTATAAGTTAGTTGGTGACACATTTCTTTGTACTTATAAACTGACTTATAAGTTGCTTATAATTCAGAAAAAAGTAAGTCTTTTATACTAATATTAAGCTAGTTTTTTTTCAATCTATTTTAACCGTAGTATTTATAAAATCTCTCATATATTATGAATATCTCAGATGACTTACTTATCATTTAAGTCATTTTACTTACATGATTTTTAAACTTATAAGCAATTCATAAATTTAAAAACCACTTATAAAAAATAAGTCAATAAGCATTAGCACAAAGAAATACTATGTTTGAATTTTGGTTAAAATCGAGTATTTACTTCTATGAATTAGTATAGTACTCCATTGTCCCTAAATGATGTTTGTGTTTCATTTTGTTTGTATCTCATAAAATACTTTTATCCTATATTAAATATGTAATTAAAATATTCTGAAAACAGCTTCTCTCTATGATAAATGAAAAATATAGTAAACTTTAAACATTATACATAGCGATATAATTAATTTTTTAAAATACGTAAAAAAAATGAAACATGAAGATCTTTTTATAAACAAAAATCCAAAAGGGGTGGAGATACATAACTATATAAGAAGTCAAAGTGTAAAATGAATCTTTTTCAAATTAAGTGCTCCTACCATCAATTTTTAGTCTATATTATTTTAGTGAATTTTAAGTCTCATTTTGATTTTAACTTTTATTTTCAACATTTTTAAATTTTGACCATAAATTATAAAAAAACTAAATTGAATTGTGATATAAATTTAATATCAATAAATTTATTTTGAAACCTAATTTTTAAATATCATAATTTTAAAATCTATCTTTATAAATAAATTAAATAGAAATATTAATGACAAAAATCTTGTTTAGAAGACACAATAGGCAAGATATGAGACAAAAGTTCTCCGTTTTATAATGAATTAACTTTCTTATATAATATGGGGTAAAAATTAGTAAAAATTAATCAAATAATAATTAGTTGTCATGATATTATAAGAATTTTATTTAAGAATTTTATTCTTGAAATCTGTGTTTAAAAGAATTTGAATCTAGAGCTTTAGAAAAACAACTTTGGCCGTTGGCAATTATTATCCGTTTATGTTTGTTTCATTTTCCTTCCAATGCTGACCTAGTTTTGTATCTATCTAAACTAACCATTCATTTGTTTTTCAAATGAACATTTATTTTTTATTGTTACCAATTTTTTTATCCCAATTCTTTTCCAGACCTGAAAACATAAGAAATTTTAATTTTTATGAGATTTAAGGGAGCATATTTTGGTATTGAGTTTTCAAAAATGTCCTTGGATGTGATGAGTAAGTAGTATTTGATTGATAAATTAATCGTGAATAGATATGATGTGATAAGTAGGTTAATAATTAGTAGGGATAAAAATGACTTTTTAATAATATTGAGAAAAGTTTTTTTGGGATAGATGAAAAAAGAAAGAAAAAAGTTTTCTGGGACGAGGGAGTATAAGGGCTTGTTTGGAAACAGCATTAGCGATTAGCGTTAGCGTTTTGAAAAGAATATCTACGGGCAGCGTTTAGCGTTAGCGTTTTCAAAATAATCTGCACCGTTAAAATTTTATCCAAAACGCTAACGCTAATCTCTAGCGATATTCCCAAACAGGCCCTAAGTAATTCACAACTCTTCTCTTTTTATAAAAAAAATTACTCTCTATGCGTAAATTTTCTTTCCAATTGATTTTAGACAACCTTTAATGCATCACTTTGATCATAAATATATTTATTTATATATAAATTTATACGGAGTATTTTAAAAAAATATAATACTTCAAAACTATGTTTCAAAATGAATTCGTTAATATAAAACGATATTTTTATATATTTTTTCCATAGTTTATAATTAAAGTTTTAAATTTTACCAAAAAAGATAAATTAGGGAAAAAAATTGAACGAAAAGAGTATGTCCATAAATAAATCTACCTGTACAGGAGTAAAAAAAACATTAAAATACAAAAATAAGAGTTCTAAGTCTTTTGAAACTAAAATAGGAGTATAACGACTATGTAGTATAAAATAAACATTGGCAGTGTCATGAAAAAATGATGCCAGCATAATATGTCAGTGTGATCAGTCAACCATTGGTGATCCGAGACGGCACTCGGGTGGCCGATGACGATGGATGGTAGTGTGGCAGTGGTAGAGTTGTAATTACAATGTGATAATTGGGTCAATTTGGTCTTAAAAGACTTATATCTTCTCTTTTTGTATTTTTCATAGTTTGAGCAATAGCAAAATCAGAAACAAAGTAGTCACGAACTTAACAAACTAACTATTTATGAATACTATTCTCAATTTTAAATAATTATAGACTATTTAATTTTTAGAAATTTAGTTTATATATAATAAATTTGTGAAATTTATGACTACTTTGTTTGTGACTCTAGTATTTTTGTAAAATTGTGTACGAATTTAACAGACTAACTATTATGAGTACAATTCTCAAATTTAAATAAGTTTTGACTATATAATTTTATAAATTTAATTTTTAAATAATGAATTTGTGAAAATTATACTCCCTCCGTTACAAAATATTTACAACATTTGCTTTTTTAGCAGTCGCGTGAACTTTTGTTTAATTCTACGTTTTCATTGGTTATTTGATAAAATAAAATATTTTTGACACCTCTTATTGCGAAGAACTTTTCATGTAGTTTTTTTATATGTAAATTTTATTTTTTATTTCTATACCAATATGTAAATAAAATGAATTGAAAAAACTTGATATTTTACCTTAAAAATATAAGTGTGGCAAATATTTAAGAACGAAGAGATAATTATTTTGTTTGTGAATGTAGCGTTTTTGCAAAATTGTGCACAAATGTGACATGAGTGTTTTTGTTTGACGTTGTGAATTTTTCTTTTTCTTTTAACAACACAGCAGGAGTACGAAGTACGAGTACACTTCCGTACGTACGTCTCCGTACTATATCAACAGCGAAAAATCAGCAATACTAACAAAAGTCAATTAAAGCAGCAGAGCGGAGATAGAAAAAATGGCTATAAAAGGAGCAGGCGGCGGTGGCGGCGGCGGAAGCCCAGCTTGTGCCGCCTGCAAGCACCAGAGAAGAAAATGCCAACCCGATTGCATGCTGGCGCCGTACTTCCCGGCGACCGACCCCAGGACGTTCATAAACGCCCGCCGCCTCTTCGGCATTAGAAACATCGTGAAAACCCTCCGGCAGATCGACGACGAGGACAAGAAGGACGACGCCATGAAAGCCCTGATCTTCGAGGCCGACATGCGCCAGAAGTTCCCCGTCCACGGATGCGTCCAGTACATCGCCCACCTCAGCCGCCGCCTCCAAGAGGCGGAGGACGAGCTCGCCCGTGTGCGGGCCCAGCTGGCGTCCTTCCGCCGCCGCCAGCGGATGCTGGCGGCGCAACACGGCGGCGGCTTTGTCGGCGATGGTGATGACGATGACACTACTTCTTATTATGACATCTGCGGCGGTCGGGATGGCCAGGCGATGATAATGGCAGGTCAGTTTGAACCCGAAGAAGCGTACGTGGACGATTCTTCTAGGTATATTCCACTAGGTTTTCATGAACCTTCTATCCTGATTAATTCGTTATAATTTTTTCATTTGACTTTTTTACGATTTTTAATACTCCTCTCGTTCCAAATAACTTTTTCCTTTCCTTTTTCATTCGTCCTAAAAAATACTTCTCTTTTCCTATTAAAAAGTCATTTTTATCTCTATTAGTTCTTAGGGCATGTTTGAGAATAACGTTGGAGATTAGCATTAGCGTTTTGAATAGAATCTTAACGGTGCAGATTATTACTTTGAAAACGCTAACGCTAAACGCTGCTCGTAAATAGCCTTTTGAAAATGCTAACGTTAATAGCTAACGCTATTCCCAAACAGGCCCTTAACCTACTTATCACATCACAATTTTTCTTTGTTAATCCACTCATCCCATCCTACGTTATCCATCACATCAACACTAAAATACACTCTCCTTAAATTTTTTAAAAGTCAAAATGTGAAGTTTTTTTAAGGGACGGAGGGAGTATAATATTTGATCATTATAGAGTTGACATTGGTAGGTATGTTGTTTCCACTGAGGTTAGATTTTGATTTCACCGTTTGGTGTTTTTTGTGACACGGTTTTGTGAGCATTTACAAGTCGTAGGGTGTTTGGACTTTGGAATGGTTAAACTTGTTCTTTAGTAATGTTCTAACTGCATTGCCGTTTGCCGGCGTGTTTGTTACCGTAGCGAGATGTTCTAACTGCTACTTCTAAATTCTTGGATCTTTTGCACTTTAATTCCAATTTACTCCTTGTTGCTCATTCCGTATTCTATAATTTTTTTTGTTGTAATATAAATTTAATATAAATAGATTTGTGTTGAAACTAAATTTTTAAATCTATATTCCGTGCATATAGAATAGTATTTTTAATTTTTATAGTCCGTAATATGCATCTATATATAAGTATCGATAGTAATGATCACAGAATTGAATGTGTGACCATGCGAAAAAGTAAATAGACAAAAGTATGGGACAGAAGGAATATTTCTTGTTTCGTGTGTAGTCCTTTTTTTAATATTTCTCTTTTGAGAAAAATAATATTTGAGGTAGATGTAATTTGTGTGTTACTTTCTTATTTTGCCCTTATATTTTAGTATGACATAAAATGTGATAGCTAGATAGATTACTACTCTGTAAGAAATATTACTCTCTCGTTCTTAATATATTTGTCTAGTTTAACTTTTTCGAGTCAAAATATATAAACTTTAATCATCACTTAGGCTCTATTCCGTTCAACTTATTTTTCTGATCTGATCTGATTATTTGTAGTTCTGATCTGATCTGATCTAATTGGATCGGATCTGATCTGATTAGATTTGATTTGATTTGATCTGATCCAATCTGATTAATTATGATTTGATTTAAAATTCAAATCAATATCCCGATCTGACTTTATAATAAATTTTGAAAATTGTAATGATAATTCATACTTCCTCCATTCCACAAAACCATTCCCATTTTGACTTTTGTAAAAAATAAGGAAAGTGTAATTTTGATTGACTTTCCAATTTTGTCCCTGATGTGATGGAAAAAGTAAGATGTGATAGTTTGGTTATTAGTGAAAAAGTATGATGTGATAGGTATGATGTGAAAAAGTAGGGGTAAAAGTGGTTTTTTAATAGAAAGTTGAAATATTTTGTGGAAAGCAAATAAACGAAAGGGAAAGGGTTTTGTGTAACGGAGGGAGTATTATAATATTATCAATATTTTTTATTTTATGATTATTTTTTAATAATATAAAATTAGTTAATTCATATATTAGAATAATCATTCATAATTTAATGTAATAATATTTTTTCATTCATATTTTATAATGTAATAAATTTAGAAACTCAAATTACAAGTAGCAATAAAAATGTATTTTAAAAGTAGAATTAGATTTACATTGTCAATATATTTTAAAAATAATTTTTCCGAAGTCTAATAATTAAGGATTACTTACTCAGTTTTTTATTTAACTCGTTTTTAAAGTTTATTCTTTTTCATTTTTAAGGAAAAAATTGTGCTTCATATCATTTTATTTTTCTCTACATAAATTATAATCGCACAAAAGTTTCATTTTCTTTCTTCTTATATTTTTTCAATAGAAATTAAATTTATTTTTTGAAAGAATCGTATTAAGTGAAACAAGTAAAAAGTATGGAATTTAAAAAGTATGGAGTAATAACGATAATGATGATGATGATGATGATAATAATAATAAGATGGATCTGATCTCGTCTGATCTGATTGGATCTGATCTAGTTTGATCTAATTGGATCTCATCTGATCTCATCTGATTAGATTTGATCTGATTGGATCTGATGTGATCCAATATGATCTGATTAAATGTCTGATCTGATCTGATTTTAATAATAATAAAAAGTAGAAAAAATAAGTTGAACGGATATGTCCTTAGTCTAAATTTATATTGCATATTAATACAATAAAATAAACTTTTGGAAGTTTTATACAAGATAACTCAATTGAAATCATTGTTATACTGATTTACATTATTGTTTTTATTTAACTATGATTTAAAATTTATCTAGTATGACTCAAAAAAATAAAATTAAACAAATATACTGAGACAGAAGTCGTATGTGATAGTTTATACGCAGTAATTTCTAGGGATAAATACTGTTTTATTTGAAGAAATAAAAATTTTGAGCATGAATATTCTTTTCTCAAAAACGAGTATTCAAAGTCTGTTTGATACACGAAATGCATTACTTGTTTTCATATGTTTGGGTCAAACGCGTTTGTCATTTTCTACGTACCACATATTGGCCCAGCCCATTACATTGTACGCACCACATATTGTCTACTGCAAGTGTCCAACATTAGACGACCGTGCGATTTTTTAATTTATCTATTGAGAATAGGGTATTCCACAATGACCAACTATGCCTCCTCCCAACTTTTGTTTCACTTATATTTTCGCATTTACTTTTCACACAATGTTTTAGAGTTGAGAATTGAGATTATATGGTTAAGATTTCTGAAAAAAATTGTTCTTTCTTCAAATGAATAAAAAAATTATTTGGAAAGGTTTATAAAAAAGAGAGTTGAAAAATACTCCATCAAAAACATTAAAACAATTTCCTCAACAAAAAAAAGAGAAAAGATTAAAACAATAAATTAATTGCAGAAGAAAGAAGGATCATTGAAAGTTTTAATTTTGCTGTGGGCGCTGCTAAAATCAAAATCCAGTGGCGCACAAAGAATAAATTCTAGAAAAGCACATTTCACGCACGGAAAAAAGAAATCCCACTTTGTATGTTACCGATGGCCTACGCCACATGTAGCCGCACGCCCAAAACGGACGAGGAGGCGTAGGCATACAATATTATCTAACCTGTCACTTCAATAAAAGCCTCAAGGGAAAGAATCGAAAAGAAAATCCTTGAAGGAATTTATATTATGCCATCCTAAAAAAGTCTATCTTACAATAATAAATCAATAATAAAGAATAATAAACATCAAACAAAATCATCAAATCGTCTAGGGCGCCTCCTCGTCTGTTTTGGTCGTGCGGCTACAGGTGGCATAGGCATAGCATCCGTAACATTGTATAAGAGTCTCAAATGATGAGAAAAAAATAATTAAAATGCTACATGATGTAGTGGAAGATCTCAAGTAATAAAACATAGTCGAGTGAGTATGTTGCGAGTGAGTAGAGTAGCATGACATTGTGTCTAGTCATTGTTTTTTGTCATTTTCAAATATTTTTAACGTATTTTCATTATCAGAATTTATTGTACATAAAACTAAATAAATCAAAATAAAACTAATTTTTTCTTTCATTCTTTATTCAAGATTACACAACTTTCTAATGTCAGATTGATTGGTAAGATTTCAATACTTTTAAACCACTACTATTCTACAGAGTAACTACACATTAATTGTATTTGTATCTTACATGCAAAAAATAATCAAACATTGATATGCCATTTGTCAAGTTCTTAAAAAATTGTGTCTCAAATTTATGTATTTCTTTCATCCTATATTCTTTTTTCTCATTTTACTTTTTTGATCAATGTTTTTAAATTTTTAACACAAGTTATGGAAAAATGCATTAAATTATGGAATAAATTTAATATTAATAGATTAATTTTGAAATATAACTTTGAAATATTATATACTCCATATTTAATCTATGTTTAGTAATCAAAATGTTACATTAAAAGGCTATATGATGAGAATTAATGTTAGAGATTATCGTTAGCATATGTAATAGCATTTAGCATATTCAAATTAATCTACATCTTTAAATTTTTATTTAAAATACTAATGACAATTGAAAACACTATTCCTAAACAAAGGCTTGTATATGAGTTTAGCATTTTGGTTTGTTAAAAATTTGAAACAGACAAGTTTGTCAAGTCGACGTTTGACTAGTTGAATTTGTTTTTCATCAGTTATTCGGATACATAGCATTAGCAAAACCCCATTGCTGATTTTCTGTTCTTTCTTCTCGTTTTTATTCCACAACTGAAGAACCAAGGATCTGTTTCGGAACGAAGCACCGCCGTATGGATTGTCGGCGTCGTCTCGTGATTCTTTCTCTTGTTCTTTTTTCCATTTTTCCCGATCCCTCTCTTCAGTCCTCCAGATGGCGTGGAGCTGCAAAAACGTATCTTTCCGGAGACCATTGTGTACGGATTTCTTGAAGAATGTACACCAATCCATGGCTGATTTTTCTCTTTTTTTTCGTGTACAGGAAAGAGTCGGTGCTGCGACTGGTGACCGGAGCTCCGGCGACTTTCATTGATCCGACCCGGGTTACCCCAATCTCTTGGCACCCCAGGTGGCCCATCAATTTTCAATTTTCTTTTTTCTTTTTCATCTGGAAATGTATTTTGTTTAACTTTGCTGAATATATGGATCTGCTGATGAATGGAATTCTACAGGGCTTTCTTATATAAAGGGTTCTTGTCATACGAAGAGTGTGATCATCTCATTGCTCTGGTTAGTCTTTGGGAGTTTTTGTAAAAAAAAATGCAATCTTTAATGCATAGATACTCCCTCCGTCCGGTCTTTATACTAATGTACCCAAATTAAGCTCTCATACAAGTTTTTAAAAAGAAAAGACATTAAGATCCTACATTATGAACCACAGCAATTAGTCAATAACAAAGGGGCAAAGTAAAAAAAATTAACAACAAAATAGGCTTACCTAAAAAATACTTGGCATTCAATGTTGGAGCTTAACCCGATTTAACTAGCAGCCAATAAAATCCCACGAATGGGATTTCGATGACAATCTACTCCCCCTCCCTAAAAGAATGTCATGTTTTCCTCTTTTAGCTGTTCCAAAAAAAAAGTCTTCACATTTCACATTATTTCTCTAGCTTTTGCTAAATCTCCACCATAAAATTTTAAAATTTGCTTTTTTTTCAAAACTCTGTGAAAGTGACATCCTTTTAGGGACGGAGGGAGTAATATTTTAGTGTTTAGTAAAAAAAGAATCTCATTGATGAGAACAAAAAGCTGGAATTAAATGTTTGCAATTCTGATGAATAGGCCAAGGATAAGCTGGAGAAGTCCATGGTTGCTGACAATGAATCTGGAAAGAGCGTAGAGAGTGAAGTTCGGACTAGTTCTGGCATGTTTCTTTCAAAAGCCCAGGTTCTTGAAACTCAATTCCATATCCATTTGAAGTAGAATTGATTACGATCACGAGGTTTGATTGAAGTTAATTGCAATACTCTTCCAATAAAATATGATTTAGTATCAGTATTTAAAATTTACCCATTTGAAAGCTATACTAAAAGTGGTATTAAATCACAAAAACCAAATTTCAATATGATCAAAATTTTCTAGAGAAATTAAAAAGGAGTTGAGTTGATGACATGAATGAATAGTTGAAAGAGACATAAATGGTAAATCAAATTTGTGGAAGTTTTTATGTTGTTTTACTTCTTATAGGCTTTTTTTACTTGGTGCTTAAATCTGTTTCGATTTCAATGTAGAATCCTAAACATAAACAACTAACAAATTTCAAGATGAGAAATAATGTGCATCATTCTTTGCAGGACGAAGTTGTTGCTGCTATTGAAGCCAGGATAGCGGCATGGACTTTCTTACCTCCGGGTAATTTAGTCAGCACATTTATGTTTTCCTCCCTATTTGAATACTAAGAGAAGTGATATAATTCATGATTGGGTTGGGGCCTCTCAGCTGGTTCATAATGTATATGAGTCGAAACACACTAAGGACCCATTTGGTGAGAGTATGAGATATGTTTTCTAGGGCCTAACGCCCTAACCAGGGTTCCAATTCAATATCGCCCTCAAATGAAGTGTTTTGATATGGCCTGATTTTGGGAGATATCAATCTGCGCTAACAACCATATCAGACTCCAGATGTCTCCAAACACTTTTATTTCAGATTTTAGAAACCATATCATTTATTCCAGTTTTCAAAATTCATATCAAATCAACAATGCTTCTCTTACCAAATGGGCCCTTAATGATTTGCAGTAGATGGTTAGTCTAAACCAAAATCTTTTAAAAATATGTGTCTGTTTGACTTTGACATTTAGAGAATGGAGAATCTATGCAAGTACTGCGATATGAACATGGGCAAAAATACGAGCCACATTTTGATTATTTTCATGACAAGGTCAATCTAGAATTAGGCGGTCATCGTGTGGCAACTGTTCTTATGTACTTATCTTCTGTTGAGAAAGGTGGGGAAACAATATTCCCTAATTCAGAGGTGCGTGCTAGTTTTTGTTTTGCCTTATTCTAGTTTAGTTTACGATACTAGATTATAACATAATTGTCTTTTTACCCACAGCTAAAAGACACTCAGGTGAAGGGCGATGACTGGTCCGAATGTGCTATTAATGGCTATGCAGGTACATGCACATCTTTCTATACTAAGCCCATGTTCTTTAAGTTCATTTGGCTGAAATGGTTGAATTCACTAAAAGGGAAGAGTTTGGTAGCATCCATTTCAGCCAAAGTAGCAAGTCAGAGAATCATCTTTATCACGTATTCTGTTATATATGTAAGGGCCTGTTTGGTAAGATGTATACGAAAAACAAGCTGAATAAGCCAAATAAATATATTCACAACAATAACCCCGTATAATCCCAACTCCGTTGGGTATGGGTGGTCAGAATGACTCTTTTAGCTCCAAAGAAGGTCACTAAAAGGAGGCTAATTTGCATCTTTTTCTTCTTCTTTGGTTGCAGTGAAACCATATAAGGGTGATGCATTGTTGTTTTTCAGTCTACATCCGAATGCAACTACTGACCCTCTGAGCTTACATGGAAGTTGCCCTGTACTTGAAGGTGAGAAGTGGTCTGCAACGAAATGGATTCATGTGAGGTCTTTTGATTCACCAGCCAGCGGATGCGCCGATCTTCATGAAAACTGCTATGCTTGGTCTGTTGCTGGCGAATGTGACAAAAATCCTCTCTACATGGTGGGGTCCAAACACTCTCTAGGAAAGTGTAGGAAAAGCTGCAAAGTATGTTCATAAAAATATAGTGGTCTCGGCCATTTCTGTTCCTTATTGATCTTCAAGAANNCCCCCCCCCCCCCCCCACACACAGAAACACAGCATATCAGTTTGTATAGTTGATGTACTTTGTATTAAACAGAATATTGAGAAAGAATTACTCTTGGCTGAGAAGTGCATGATAGTAAGCAAATTAGCTATTGAAACCCTCTTGGGGTGTGTAAAGATTTTAATATGATGTGAAGTTCAATATTTTATTAACAGTTGGAAGATGGTGATTTTCAGTGGCTGTTATAATGGGTTATATATGGATGTTTAACCAAATAGTTCACTCATTCTGCACCTGAAATACATTATTCCTTCTTTGTGTGTGTTAGAGAGAGATAGAGAGAGAGAACATGCAATATTTTTTCATGTCAAGTGGTTTTTTTGAGGCTATGAAAGAATCATGCAATTGTTGTTAATTTGGGAGCCAAGTTACATGCATTCCATGCTCCTTTCTCCCAGTGTATACATCCCTTCTTTAATTGTACTCTCAAGACCTGTGAAGAAGAAAGAGGCTGCATCACCATTGCTCCAATCTCTCTCTCTTGTGATCCATTTCTGGATCTTAGTTTGTTATTTTCTGTGGAGATGATGGGGAGGCCACCTTGTTGTGACAAAGCAAATGTGAAAAAAGGGTCATGGACTCCTGAGGAAGATGCAAAGATTCTTGCCTATGTTGCAAGCCATGGGACTGGTAATTGGACTTTGGTCCCTCAGAAAGCAGGTATTTTGTTCTTCGTCTCTTCTTTTTTTTGGGCACGATGCGGGAATGGTTTCTTATTATTGTCTACGGAGTCGTATTATTCTATGAAAACTCTGAATGGTTTATGCTGGATGAGTTTGTGAAGGACTCAACAGGTGCGGGAAAAGCTGCAGGCTGCGTTACACAAACTATCTGCGCCCTGATCTCAAACATGACAGTTTCACCCCCGAAGAAGAGGCATCCATTATTGAGCTTCACAAAACTGTTGGAAGCAGGTAAGATTCAAAGCTATGAATTTTATGCTAAGTTGTTTCTTCAATCTCCCAAACTGCTAAAATGACGTAATAACACCAAAAATTTCATTTGGCATTTCCATTTGATGATCAGGTGGTCTTTAATAGCAAGGCATCTACCTGGGAGAACAGACAATGATGTCAAGAACTACTGGAACACAAAGCTGAAGAAGAAGCTCAAGAACATGGGAATTGACCCTTTGACTCATAAGCCCTTTGCTCAGGTCTTTGCAGAGTTCGGGCGGCTGAGTAGCGGCCTCCCTTTGCTCAACAACACCCCCGCCATAAAAACCGAGTCCCTTTTCGACCCATCAGAACCCACAGATGTTTCAAACCGCCACACTTATTTTGCCGGCCCGGAAATGAATGCACAATTCCAACTTTACCCTTTGTCCATTCAACCTGATGATGGCAATTTCACACCTTTTCATTCTCCTTCTCCATATGAGCAATTCCCAGCACCCATTTCTTCTTCTTCTTCATCTTCTTCTTCCTTGGCACCATGGAATGAGTTTATACTTCAAGATCCTGAGACAGAGGTGCAGAGACAGGAAGACGACACAAATGATGATTTGCCTGAGAAGTGTGAGGATAATAATGGGCAAACTTTCGCGAATGAGGATTCGTTTGTGGAGAACATGTTGGCTCGCGACAGGGAAATGCAGCTGGAATTTCCTCAGCTTCTTGATGACGGCTACTTCGACTAGTGAATCTCTATATCTGCCAGTGCTTCTTCCAATACCAGTGTTTGGTTACTATGTAGAGGTGGAAAAGGAAGGGGGGAAAACAGCAAATGCATTGTCAACTGTCAGACACCAAAGTTCCTCTGGATAAAGTTGTCATTACACATGACTGCATGCACTTTCTATGTTTTGATTTAGTTGTCCACTTTTTGAATTAGTTGTCAACTTTTCATACTCCATTTGTAGTAAACAAGTTATGGTGAATTATCCACATTATCTTCTAGATAACATGTTATAACTGGTAGCATCAATGAACATAAACTCATTTGAAGGACTTGTTAATATTTATCACTAGCTTCTTAATATGAAGATTTGAAACTTCATACTTTCTCCGTCCAAAAAAAAGATTTTTTTAATTTCGCACTATTTTTCATATAATGTGACTTGAAAATAACTTCAGTCAAACATCGTAACGTGCAACAGGGAGATAATTTTTGGACCGGGGAATATTTTTCCTTTTCATTTGTGTAAAATAAAGTTCACATTTTCTATTTTTTCATTTATGGAATGAAACACGTGTCTCGATTTTTTTGCTTCTCTATATATATCAATATATGTTGTACATTTTATTTTTAAAAGAAAAAACACATCAAATTAAATATTCAAAACATCAATATATCAGAGGTGCACTTCTTAGAGTACAAGGGATTACTATGCACTTTTGTGGTTATCTCATTATTTAGGGTGGAATGCCAGTGCCTCACACCCTAACCTGACAGGATTGTGACGGGATAAATGGTATAATTTCAATCTAATTCTCAGAGAGATTGTTTCGTGTCTTGTGCGCACAAGGAACTATTACAATTAACAGAACTGTTATACGGTCACCGTTGAAATTCGACCATATGATCAATGAACTTGACATCTTCTTTTTGAACCAGTTTAGTTATGTCATTATTTAGAGGCGCAATTTTGAAGAGTAAATAAAGAATAGTAAATCCCACCAGAGGAATTAGCCATCAAGGAGGAGTGGGTCCCTTCTTCCACAACCCGTCCTTTAACCAGGACTGCAATGGCGTCACAATTCCGTACGGTGCTCAACCTGTGGGCCACAACCACCGTCGTCCGCCCAACCATGATCCTCTCCACCGCTTCTTGCACTGCCCTCTCGCATCCACTGTCCAAAGCGCTCGTCGCTTCGTCCAACAGCAGCACCGACGGCCTCTTCAGAACCGCTCTGGCGATGGCCACGCGCTGCTTCTGGCCGCCGGACAGCTGCGTTCCCCGCTCCCCGCACCACGTGTCGTACCCGTCCTCCAAGGCTTGTATGAAATCGTGAGCGTTGGCCGCCTTCGCCGCCTCCACGACTTCCGCCTCGCTGACGTCGGCTCCTCCTCCGCCGGATATGATGTTCTCCCGCACTGTTCCGGCGAACAGCGTCGGCTCTTGGCTCACCAGCGCGATCTGCTTTCTTAGAGACCGCAGGTTGTAGGATTTTACATCTCGGCCGTCGATTTTCACCGAACCCTTAATCGGGTCGTAGAATCTCTGGATTAGGGCAATCACCGTCGATTTCCCTGACCCGCTCGGGCCAACTAATGCGGTTGATTTTCCGGCTTCGATCTCTATGGAGAAGCCTCTGAAGACGAAGGCATTAGGTCTTCCAGGGTATGCAAAATGAACATCTCGGATCTCCACATTCCCTGCCAAATTCTCGATCGGGTTGAAGCCACTCGGGTCATCCGGATCTATCATGGTTTCCCGATCCAAGACTGCAAAAATGGATCCGACTGCGTTTCCCCCCTTGGCTAGATCACTTGTCATGGTTGCAGCTTCTGCTATGACGCGACTCGTGGTCACCAATATGAAGAACGTCTGGAAAAGAGATTTCACGGCAATGTCCCCACGGTCCACCAGTTTCCCACCGTACCACCAAGACAAAGCCACATTGAATGTTATGAGACTGCTGGACATGGCGAGCACGAAGCCGGCAAACCTGGACTGTCTAGCACTCTCTTTTGCTGCGCCTTCTTGTGCTTTCTTGAGCATTTGGAGGATTCTGGTGCAGGAGGAGAACGTTGTCACAGTTCGAAGGTTGGCTATGGCTTCTACAGCCACTCTGCTGCTTTCTGCTTGTGCTTTTGCGGCTTTCTTGGACATGTTCTTCAGGAAAACACGCTTGTAGTAGAATCCCAGTATGAGGATGGGTTTTGTTGCCATCATCACCAATGCAAGCTTCCATGCAATGACAAGGCTCAGTGTCCAAGATACTGCTACTGATGAGCCTGCTTGAATAAGTAGAGCCATTCGATCACCGACCAGAGATCTCACCTGTTGAATTACAATGAAGAGTTTGTTCCCTTTGATTAATTCTTCTCCAAGGCATTGTTTATGTTTCCATAAAAATAATACAGTACTACATCTGTTTCATGAAAGAACTTTAGGCTTCTGCACTTTCCTTTTCAGGCAATGACTATGAAATTTGCATATATTTAAACATACCATGTTAGCATCAGTAGCAAGTCTGGAGCAAACCGCGCCAACAGAGTTCTCGTCTCGATCGTACCACCCAATTTCAAAGGTAAGAATCTTGGACAAGAGTTTCACCCTGATCCTTTTAGTCAAGTGCTCTCCCATGATTGCTAAATTGTAATGCTGAACCGTGCTGAGGAAAATAGCCAGAACAGATAAGCCTAAAAAGCACAGGGAGTAGATTCTTATCTTTTCCTTTATCTCAGCATGGGTTGGCAGGAAAAAAACTGATAACATTGACCCCAACACGAATCCATACGTGGGTTGAACCGCCCCAAATAACATTGCCCCGACCGATCCCAGCGTTGCTTGCTTCCATTCAGGCAAATTCAATGCGAGAAGCCTTACAAACGATGGGGCACGAATGCTTTTTTCACCGGATGCCGAAGAACTATGCTGTGAATCAATACTTGTGTTTGGTAATGGAAGCGCAACAGAAGCTACTAAATGCCTGATGGCATTGTCATTGACATGAGTGCCCATAAGGGTTTGAGAGGTTGGCATTTGTTGGCGAACAAGAGAGGTGTAGATGCCATTCTCATCTTTGATTAGATCCCCATGTGAACCAATCTCCTTAACCTGGCCATTCTGTACAACCGCGATAATGTCTGCATTCCGGATGGTGGACAGACGGTGGGCTATTGTTATTGTGGTGCGACCAGATGCAGCTCTGTCCAAAGCTTCTTGCACCGATCGTTCCGATTCCGTGTCAAGTGCACTGGTGGCCTCATCAAGAAGGAAAATCTTTGGTGCTCTGATTATGGCCCTTGCGATTGCCACCCTCTGCTTCTGTCCACCTGACATTTGCACCCCTCTTTCGCCGACCTGTCAAGCAGAACGAACGTACTGGTGAGGCATAAAGATATAAGCAAACACATAGAGTCTTGAGACTAGTATAGGTTTTAATTTTACCTGGGTATCATAGCCGTTATGTAACTGAGAGATGAAGCCATGAGCATTGGCAGCTTTGGAAGCCTCAATGATTTCTTCCATGGTCGCGTCCTCCTTCCCAAAGATTATGTTTTCCTTAATTGAAGTGGCAAACAAGGCAGGCTCTTGGCTCACCACTCCCATTTGGGACCTCAGCCAATTCAGATGCAACCTATCAATGGCGATGCCATCGAGAAGAACTTCACCACCAACTGGATCATAAAACCTCTGCAGCAGCGCCACCGTTGTGGACTTCCCTGACCCGCTCCCTCCCACCAGTGCCACTTTCTTTCCCGCCGGGATTCTCAGGTTGAAGTTCTTCAAAACTATGGTTTCGGGTCTAGATGGATAGGCAAACTCGACGTGTTTAAATTCAACTTCCCCCAAGACATGCCCTATTATGTGACCGTCTGTGTTGTCTGGATCAATCTTTGGCACTCTCTCTATAACCTCCATCATTCGCTCACATGCCGCACTTGCTTCCGAGAAGTACTTCACATTTGACAGACAAGATCCAAACGCCCTGTAGAATGTGGGAAATGAACGCCGCGTTAGTGTCAACGATATTATGATATGGTACTACACGAAATGTTTTCTCTTTTTTTATTTGAAGAAAGGCAGAGGTGATTACAGTCCACCGGTGGTGACAGCGGCACCAACAGCAAAGACAGTGCCTCCGGGGACATGGTGGTGCATGACCAGTCTGCTGCCATAAAAGGACATGTAAGACCAGATGGCATAAACCACGCCGTTACTCCCAATGGCCACACCTTTCGCCAGACCTTGTCTCCGGCCGAGCTTCACCGTCCCTCGGAGAGCCGCCGAATACTTCTCAACAGTCTTGCTTTCACCCACAAAGGAGTAAATCGTCCGAATGGAAGAAATGGCCTGTCGGACGATGCTGTCCGCCTTGCTGTACTCTCCCCTCATCTCTCTAGCTATGGCCGCCAGCGTTCTGCCGTACATCAACCCCGGAATCACCAGGAGCAAAACCGACGGAAGCGCGACGGCTGCCAGCCTCCATAGCATCACGAATGAAATCAGATACGCCCCGAGAAATGTGGATATGTTGGCCACAAACGCCGGAACCTGTCGCGTTCATTCCTCCATTTCATTTACCAAATAAACAAAAGGAAGCTGTAAATCTTATCAGAGAAAGAGAACACTGGCCTTTTCACTGATGACGTCATGGATGACGAGAAAACTGTCGCTCGAAACAACATCGGTGACATGGGATGCGGTTGTTGTCTCAAGCATGTCAAAGTAGCCCACGTCTTGCCTTAGGACAGCTTTCATGTACTCTAGCTTTAACCTTGACACTTGTCTCTCCCCAGTTCTCGTCCAACAATAACCCTCTGTTACATTTTTTGCATTTTAACGTAGAGAAAAAAAAAATATATGAATATCTCCCATGAATAAAATTTGATGGAAATAATTTTTTTATTTAAATAAAAATAGGAAAAATACAACAACACATGGAAGGATAAGATATAGATATCCCATCTATCTAGACTCTCAAAGAGTGCAGTACTTAAATAGGTTGAGATGTTTTTCAAAGAATTTAGGTCACAAAAGACTAGAAAAGTGCACTTGTTATTTTTTTGATGAAATTGTAAATGTCATATATCTCAATTTTGTACAGAAAATTACTCACGGGTGACGCGAATTTTGTTGAAATAACTCCTAGGTTCCTCTATTTTCAAAAAGACAGCATAGGTCCTTACATTTTGTTGTAAAGACTGGAAGGGGACATTTCATCCAATATTCCATCTATAAATGTTAATAAATGTATTTTTTTCCTATTCTTTTCTAAATGTTTTAAGGTAGTAAATTTTAGTTCGCTTCTTTTTTTATTTCTTTGTTTTTCTTTCATTTTGTTACTATTTTTTAAAGTGTTATTTTTGAATTTCTTCTATAAAATTGTATAAAAATTCAAAATTGTTAGTATTATATTAAAACTAATGAAATAAAAAAATTTTAAAAAAAGAAAAAACAAGGTAATGGCAAAATAGGAAAAAACAGTATTGGAAAAATACGAAAAAATACATTTATTAACACTTACGGATGATGTATTGGATGAAATGTCCCCTCCCAGTCATTACAACAAAATATAAGGACCTCGGTTGTCTTTTTGAAAATAGAGGGACTTGAAAGTTATTTCGACAAAACTCGCGTCACCCGCGAGTAATTTTCTGCAATTTTGTACGTTTATCTATCAATATCATGTACCAAATATTTTACTTCATTCTAAAACTATCGTTTTAGTTTGACTTTTGCGATCTCTTTGACCACATAAAAAGAATTATGAAATTTTGATTACTCCAAATTACATCTTAAATTAACCCAATCATTTCACATTGAATTTATTTTTTACAATTTGTTGTCAAAATACTTGAAAAACGTCGAGCTAGAACTATAATTTTGGAACAAAAGTACATATCTGTTTTCTTGATGATTGGGGTTTACAAAAAGAGTATTCATTGGGCTTTAGACAAAGAGTACAGAGAGTATTTTATCGGGGTTTAGACAAGGTGGCATTGGGCCCGTATATATTTTTGTCAAAGTGTAATTCGATTGTGATAGTGCCACGTCATATCAAATTGGGGGAAGAAAAAAGGGACCCACCGAGAAAGCAGAGCAGCCACTGGGCGCATGCCATGTAGCACAAATAAAGAGCGTTCTGTGAGACCAAATAAAGAAAGTCTATAAATTAACCAAATGAATAATGCTAGGGTGCCACCACATGGGTGCTACCATGGATGCACCTATGCTTCACACAGACAAACACAGACGATAATCGTCTGTGTGACACGGATAATTATCGTCTGTGTTTGTCTGTGTGAAGCATGGGTGCACCCATGGTAGCACCCATGTGGTGGCACCCTAGCATATAGCATGTACTCCGTATACATATTCCTTCCATTCACATTTAACCCATTATTACATACTACTCCGTCCCGGAGTATTTGTCCAGTTTTGACTTTTTTCGGTCAACTGTTTTCAACATTTCACCTATAATTAAATAAAATACTCCGTATATATTATATTTTAATTAAAAAAATAATATTTTGAAAATATTTGATATAATAAATCTAATAAAACTCTTTTTGTATCAATATCTAATATCATTTTTATTTAATTTAAGGTCAAAGTTTACCTATTTTGACCGAAAAAGTCAAAAGTGGACAAATACTCCGGGACGGAGGGAGTAGTACTTAATCCCAATTTTAATCTTTCTGGTTCGCGTTAGGATGTATAACTAACTTTATTTTTAATTCAATTTCTTTGATTGTAAGTATAAAATTTGAAAATAAAAATTATATATTAAAAAATTACATCAAAAGATCTACAAAACTAAAGTGACATGATTATAATAAGTGATCAAATGAGTAACGAAAATAAGAAAACAAAGTATATAAAGTTTGACCCGATGAATAATGTATGTAAAAACTTAAATGGGACGAAGGGAGTATGACTTTTGAGATACTCCTCTTGTCCAAAATTAATCTTCTTAGTATCATTTTGTACAGAATTTAAAAAAAGTATAATTATGTGATTGAAAATAAATAAGTGATGCACATTTGAGAGAAAAAAAAAAAGAAGTCACAAAAGGCTTGCTATATACTCGGTATATGTTATTATTTGACAACCATGCCAAAATGACTTGCTATATATACTCAGTATATGTTATTATTTGACAACCCAAACAGAATTTCAGGCTTTAAAGGGTTGGCCGATTTTTGGAAAGCTTGCTATAAAAAATGAAAGTTGCTTTCTATTAAAAACAAGTTTGGTAAAATATAGAAAAAATACTGATTAGGTTAGTTTTTTTTTGTGTCACAAAACATTTGTTCCTTCACGTCGAGTGCACAACGCAATATTTTATTATTTTTTACGAAAAACTTATTATTTATTTATTTTGCAAAAAGAATATTATTTTATTTAAAATTATTATTTTTAAATTGCACACTCATTGAGTATTACTTAAATTTTCTAATATAAACTAATAAAATTTAAAAACTATTATAAATAGTGTATACTATAATAGTGAAACCAATATTATATACTCCCTTCGTCCTACACAGAGTTACACTCTTCACTATTCAAAGATCACGAAAACTTTTGTTTATTTGTGTTTTTCATTGATTATTTGGTAAAATAAAATATTTTTTTCATTTCTTATTTTGTAGAACTTTTGATGGAGTACTTTTTAAATATGCAAGTTTCTGTTTTATTTTAATACCAATATTTAAAAAAAATGATTTGGAAAAAAACATGAAATTTTACTTCTTTTTGCATAAAATATACTCTCTCCGGTCCTAAAAACCTTTCCTGTTTTGAGTTTTCGGTCAAACAGTGACACTTTTTGACCACAATTTAAACTTAATCTAAATAGATAAACTATATCTAAATATATCAACACCTATATCCAAATTAAGATAGACTCAATTAAATTTATATTGTAATTAAATATACTTTTTTCACAATTTGTGATCAAAGAGTGTACTGTTTTACTAAAAAAGTTAAAACAAAAAATATTTTTAGGTCCAGAGAATAACTGATGAAAGAGCTTTACCTGAGACATAAGGGTAGAGTTAAGAGCGCCGCCAACGCCGGGGGACGGAGGCGTTCTGCCGCCGATATTGTTGGCTAAGTTGCCGGTGATAAGGAGAGTGACCTGACTGATAACCCCCTCGCCGACGGCGGCTAAGAAGCCGCCGATCATCAACAGTATATCCACTTTGTCAGCATGCCTAATTAACGGAGTGAGGAAGAAGAATAACCTCGTCATACTCTTAATTTCCTTCTCAATGCTATAGCTAGCTATCCCATTAATTTTATGCTCACCACTCATACATTATATAGAGTACAATCTATCCCACTACCAACAGATTCAATTCCTTTTTCAACTCCTCTATCAAATTCCACTTAAATAACATCTTTTACGGAGTATATATATGAGAGAGAAGTCATGTACCATCTTTTACGGAGTATATGCTATCTTATATCACTTGTTTTCACCCGCGCAACCTGTTTCACCTGTGAATGATGGATTGTTCGGGTGATGGTGATGTATGTAACGGATTAGGGTTGGATCAGATGATAAATATAGAGTCGATGGATGTACGAGAGTGAAGCTCCATCTGACCAAAATCTGATCTGTTGTCATCCTTATTTTTTCTTGAAATTAAACATCTAAAAGAGAAAGATATGATTTTTGGGACGGGAAGAACATTGAATATTTTGATTTTAATGAATTTGTTTAGTTTGATTTTTCTCAATTAAACTGGATAGACTTTAATAACTACTCCCTCCGTTTCTTAAAACACTTCCCTTTTCTATTAAAAAACCACTTTTACCCCTACTTTTTCATACCCTACCTATCATATCATACTTTTTCACTAATAACTAAACTATCACATCTTACTTTTACCCATCACATCAAGGGCAAAATTGGAAAATCAACTACAATTTAACACTTCATTATTTTCCCCCAAAGTCAAAAGAGGAACTCTTTTGAGAAACGGATGGAGTACTATGTAGTTCAATAGCAAACAATATTTCTATAATTTTTTTTTATTTTTATATTTAATTGATTATCAAAATTTTGCTAACTAAACGCGAGGTTTATATATAGTATACGAACCCATATTGTTTTTATGGAAATAAAGAAATTAATAAATATCGTGCATGAGTATAGTATATATGGCGATCGGTCCATAATAATGTTCTCTCCCTCCTTTTTTTCAAAAAGCAATATGTTATTCTCTCCGGAAGGTTTACGTCGTCGGTCATATTAATAATATAGATACCCGAAGTAGGTAATTCTCTATTTACATCATGAGTTACATCATAGCCTATATTATTATTGAGTAAATTTCATAAAAGGTCCCCAGTTATATGTCGTTTTACATATTTAGTCCCTACATATCAAATATTACTAATTTAGTCCCCAATTATTATATTTATTTCCATGAATGATCCTTTGTTAACATTTTTCGTTAAAAATGTGGGTAAAATTATAAATTCACACTCCTTTCTCTCCTCAATTAAGCTTCCCTCCTCCCTTGCACACTTTTCTCAAACACGTCGCTGAGTTTCTAGCTTTGAATCTTAAACCAAAATCATCACTCTTCTCTCAATTGTTTGTCTAACAGGAGGAACGATCATTTAAGTTTTGGGTTTAAGAGATTCAAACTCAGTGACGAGTTTGGAATAGAGTATGAGAAAATGGAGGAAGCTTAATTGAAGAGAGAGAGAAGTATGAATATACAATTTTGTCTACGTTCTTAACGGAAATGTTAACAAAGGACCATTCGTGAAAATAAATATAATAATTGGGGACTAAATTAGTAATATTTGATATGTAGGGACTAAATATGTAAAACGACCTATAACTGGGGACCTTTTATATAATTTACTCATTATTATTTTTTCTGTGACATTGCCCGACAATATCATGGGACGACGCGGGAACGCTCTAGTGCCCAGTTCATAAACTTGCAGTTCTTATCCTCGGTAAACTCCTCCATCCAACCCTGACCCGAACACACCCCTCACTCTTTCAATTACACTCCATAAATTTATTGTTGTTGTTGTTGTACGTTGTTGTTGTTGTTGTTGTTATTATTATTATTATTATTATTATTATACAAACTAATAGTGTTATTTGTTGGTGTACAAAACATGAATTATTCCATATATTATTATTATTATTCACTACTGTACCAACCACTTGCGAAAATAAATCTCCACAATACGGAGTAATTGCTAGGGAGTGGTACAAAATGGATCCATAATAATTGCAAACAGTGTGAACAGTGTTTTAACAAAACCCAAGTTGCTGAGATCGTACAATGGTGAGGCAAAAATGGAATGTCACACGCTGATGTGGAAACCAATCAAAAATATCTTAGTCGACGTGTGGTAAGTGAGTGGAGTAGTATGCTATGCGATGATAAGTCATTGTTTTTTACATTTTTTAATCTTTTTTATGTATATTAATTATCAAAAAATATTTTAATTATCTTTTTTTTTTTACAAAAATAGATATACATACTCTATTAAAAAGCAAAGTTGTTTTCTTATACAAAATAAAAAATTCAAAAATTCAAAAAAAAAAAGAAAAGAAAAAAGCTTGCCTCTCAGAGTCTCAGGTCACTCGCAAGCCAAGGCAAAAATACTTGCCATGCCACGCTTTTGGAGGCTAGGAGTACAGATGAGTTGGCATGGCGAGGCACTCACATCCCTCCCTGCTCAAACTACATCGAAAGTTCAAGAAACAAGATGTGATATGATTATTTTATATTATCAATTGGTTAAAAAAACAAGAATAAAAAATGTATGAAATTTGACGTTGTAAATAGTTAACATTCAACTTAATTTGAGACGGGGGAAATAACAAATAGCACACATTTTATATTAATTGTAGCATCATCTATAAACGAAAAGAATCGGTGTTTCTCCTTTCGAATAGGCCCGGGCAAGGTTTGCGAACACGCTCACATCTTACTCCGGTAGGATTCAATTGGGTGATTTTTGTTTGTCGTTGTTGTTGCATCTGTAAATGAAAGACAACTGTAGATAAGCTATTTTCATATTTGTGTTGGATAACTTTTTTTATTTGTAAGTAGATCATTGTTAGACAATAAAAATCAAATAAAATTTAAAAACATTAGCTACCTTCGCTCTGTAGTTTGTCCAATTTTAACTTAGCTTTTTGTAGTCAAAATTGACAAATGTTGTCTTTAAAGATTGATAAAAAATAATTTTATTAGATTTGTCTTGTAAAATATTTTTATAATATTGTTCTGTATAATTAGCATCCCATAAACTTTATAATATTTATTTAATTATAGGTAAAAAAATTATTTCTGGTCGACTTTAAATACTCAAAACCCGATAGACCGAGAGAGATAAATATAGCTATATTATATTATCAATTGGTTAATGAAAATAAGAATAAAAAGTGAATGAAATCTGACTCTATAGATAGTTAACATTCAACTTAATTTTGGACGGAGAAAAATAACAAATAACACATCTTTTATATTTATTGTAGCATTGTCTATAAAGAGAATCCATCTTTCTCCTTTCGAATAGGGCAAGATTTGCAAACACACTCACATAACTTACTCCGGTGGGATGCAATTGGGTTATTTTTGTTTGTCATTGTTGCATCTATAAATGAAAGACAACTGTAGATAAGATATTTTCATATTTGTGCTGGATAATTTATTTTTATTTTTTTTTGAATTTGTAAGTAGATCATTGTTAGACGATAAGAATCAAATAAAATTTAAGAACATTAGCTATCTTATTTAACCTTATTTTAATCGATATGTGACAATGAAATTAGTTTGTATCATTGACCACCTTAATTCTATGTCATCCAATTCAATAGTATTAAAACTTTACATCATGCATATACAGACATAGTCACATAGTCTCTCCGTTTAGGAAAACAATTCCTATATTGGTTTTAGACAAAAATAAGGAAGAGTTGTTTAGAGTTGTCTTTTCAATTTTGTCCTTAATATGATGGTTAACACTTAACAGTAAGATGTAATGGCTTTCCATGTTGTGAAAAAATATGATGTGATAGGTAGGGTAAAAGTTAGTAAAAGTGTTTTGGTGAAAAAGAAAAAAAAAAGAAAGAAGAATGAGTTTAGTAAACAGTACGTCAATTTTGAAATATTACACAATTTATTTTAAATTTCTAATAATGTACATATGGTATGTTTCATACAAATATTTTTGTTCTATTACGGAGTAGTGATCTTTTTATGGCAGATACAACAACTAAATACTTTGTAAGGACGTTCAAAAAAAAACTTTGTAAGGAATTAAAAACGAATGATTTTAGAAGATGCACAAAAAAGTTCGTTTCACATGATAGCAAATAATTTTTAACTTACAAATATTAAAAAAATTAATAATATCATAGAAATTTCATTTGTACTTCAATTTCACTATGGTATATTAAAGTAAACTTTTAATATACCTAAGGTTCATATGAGAAATACAGAATGGGGATATACTTACTTTTTTTTTTAAATGAAGAAAAGGAGAGTAGAATATACATACATTTCTCTTTACCCTTGATTATATATTCTCTTTACTTTCACAACAATCCAACTGCACAACTCAAATATAATCTGTTTTCCAAGCTTCTCAAGTGATGGCCAAGTAACATGCACCTGCACAAGAAAGAAGAAGAAGAAGAAGAAAAGAAACAGAAAGAAACAAAGGCTTCAATATAAGTAAAGAGAGTGTTTCCATAGAAGTTTGAACAAAGAAACTACTCAATAAAAAACTATAAGACATAAAAACGCACAAGCAAAAACTACAAACTGAAAATAAAACTCATTCTGGATCTAATCAATCCATGTATGTTTAAAAAAAGAATGTAAGAATCATGGCAATATAGTTTACTGACCAGAAAAGTAGCTTTGCCAAGTAATCTCGTGAAGTTTCTATCGTGACATGCGATTCATCCTGGGTTGAAGCTCTAAACGATATGCTCTCGCCAGGCTCAGCTTCAATATCTTTGAAAAATAACTGCAGTATGTTCTGAGCTAGTTCGTGGGTTACTTCCTCCACTTCACATGAAGATGGCTTTGAAAGTTCAATCACCTGTTTTGACATAAAACACATGTTGAAATTTAAATGACCCTAGATTGCAAACCTTAGTGTCTTCGACAGGAATGGATCGGAGGTTCAAATGCTTTTTAATGGGGAACCCACAATTTTCCAAGCAGATGCAGAATTTAGGATCCCGCATTAATATATTTTGAAGCAAACGAGAAGAGGGAAAAAGTTTCATTTCCCTCCGCTCGCCTCCAACCAAACACGCCCTTAAATGCATCTTAACTCATACTTGCACTAAAGAAAGAAAGAAAGAAAAACAGGTCCATTACCATTTCGGGTTCCAACAAGCGCAGGTACTCTAACAGATCATTGTTACAACTTTTTTTGTCACAATCCATCTGCATATTTTTCTGCACCTGAGAATGGAGTTCCTGATGCAACAGACAGTGTTTAGTTTAATGTATGCAATATAGCTATAGTTTAGAAGCAACAGCAGCATGGATTGGCATCTGCCAAAGAATAAATCTATATTAACAGAGGCAGGCAGATAAAGTTGAGTTTGCAAATTGCTAATTACAAGACAGCTTGCCAAATTATAAGCAGCACACCAAAGTCCAATGCCCAGCAACAAACAACGTAACACGTTTCCAATTATTCGGCTTATTTCCATACATAATGCTCTCCGATCACATCCTAAACTGCACTAACCATTCAAAGAATAGCTGGATGGATCGTGAAGTGAAATCAAGTCACTCCCAAGTTGGGAAAATGGCTTCCAAAACCTGAACTAGGCCATCAGTTTATGGAAAACCAATCAATGTCGTTCTTCTCTGGAAGTGTTTGTCATTGCTTCTACAAATCGCCGGTCTTGAAAGGCTGACTGCAAAAGAATCCAATTTTGAGCTTCACTGGTAGTGGAAATAAGCTGGAATCAGTCTTTGTGCGCAGCCAAAATATGGCGGCTATCCGTTTGCAAAATGCAGAAGCCAAATCATCTACTATCTACCAATATTCTCATTTACTTCAGTACGAATTTTCAACTAGAGTTATATTTTTAGCACCTGTTTGACTTTTAGCAGCTCCATTTCTAATTGTTGGATGTAATCCCGAGCTCGGGGAGACAATTCACCAAGATTTTGGACACCCATCATGCCTGCAACTCCATTGGATCCATCTTCCCCACTTTGAATTTCCCGAATGCTAACTTCATCACCATTTACCAATGACTCTCCATTTGCATCTCCAGAGTTCAAATTTTTTGAACGGTGTGTTGAAATCTCAAGATTCCTCATCAACGAGGTTCTGTACTCCGCATTCCACAAGGTATACCTGCCAGCAGAAAATAACAATTAACTGTCATTTTAGTTCATGTTCTTATTAAAAATCATAACAAAGCTACAATCTTTGAGGCGAAAATGCAAAATTAAAGATATGGGCAGATGGAATTAGGGAAGAAATAGAAACCCTCACCCTGTAATTATTGAAGAAACGATTAGGCTATGGAGAGGGTTCTTTGAGACCCGAACTGTAACTGAGAACTGATCCGATGGCAGCAACCCTAGCATAGTGGTTATGGCCTGCTTGATGGAGTCCTTGGCAGCGCTAGAAACGCCTTTAGAAATCACCGAAGTGTCAAGAGGCTGAATCCGCTTAAGCATATTGGCGATTACGGCGAATTCGCGGCCGAAATCGGACTTTCTGGTGGAAACGAAGTCGTCGGAGACTCCGCCCCCGCCGCCTACTCCGGACACGAGGCAGCAGACGGTGGCGGGAGATGAATGGAGCCGCCTAGAGGAGGTCGGAGCGGGTGGAAGAAAGGGGCGGATGAGGAGGTGGTGCGGGAACGGAGGACGCGGCGGAGGCCGCCGGAGGGGCTTGGGTGACAGCTCGGCGAGAGTGGATGTGAGAAAAGCTCGAGAAATGGAAGCCATTGAAAGGTCGAGATATGAGGATGAAGGACAGAAGGAGAGAGTTGTAGGACGGCGGCGGAGCGGTCTCTAGAGACTCCCGACCGTCTTCGACTCCTCCTCACTCCGCCTCATGTTCGCCGTCGACACGTTGATACTTTTGTTCGCTTGTGAATTCGGTTGACTCGGACGATGCCCCTGTATTGGCATTTAATTACAGATTTACCACTGCGTCACGGACTCGAACGCAGGGCTTGGTATGTTAGAGCAAAGGAAATGGGCCTAACGCCCCCGGCTTTAATCGCAGTTTGACGTTATTTGAGCCTTAAACATCGCCCCCTTGCGGCGTTATAGGGTGTCAGCCCCAAAACGTCAAACGCTTGACGCGTCTCTCCCCTCCCCCAACGGTCAAAAACGGCTAAATTAGGCGTTAATAAAACAATTAAATTTAAAAAACTTATAAATTCAATCAAAATAAATCTATCTCTCACACATCTCTCACTATTTTCTCTCTATAATTCTATCAAATATTCTTTCAAATATTTGATTATTTATTATAAATATTTATAAAATATATTTTAAAATGGGATCCGATGATGAAAAAAGAGCTCTCATTTTTCATTGTTTTGCCACGAGTTGTTATCAATTGTGACAACAAGGCAAAAAAGAAGAAGTTGAATCCTCTCGACGCTAGACCCAACGACAATGTTTAAACCGAGATCGAGCGGCTGCCCACGCTTCACTTCTCAACGACTACTTTAATACTCCGTGTATTTATACACCGAAAGATTTTAGTAATCGTTTTCGGATGAGTCGTCTTCTTTTTTTATGCATACTCGCCGATGTTGAACGCGAGGTGCCTTGGTTCGCCCAACGCTTTGATGCGAGAGGCCGACACGGGTTTAGTAGTGTCCTGAAATGCACTGCCACGCTTCGTTAGATGGCGTACGGGACGACATCTGATATGCTCGACGAATATTTGAAAATGTCGGCTCAGAACTTCAGATCCTGTGTTTATAAATTTTCTAAAGCTATTATTCGAATTTATCATAAAAGATATTTACGCAAGCCTACAACGAGCGACATTCGACAATTATAGGCAAGGCATGCCGCTACACACGGCTTTGTCGGCATGGTTTGGAGCATTGATTGTACGCATTGGGAATGAAAAAATTGTCCCAGTGCGTGGCATGGTCAGTTCTCCAAGGGAAATCATCTCAAGCCTACTATCATGCTCGAAACTATTGCCTCAAATAACTTGTGGTTTTGGCACACTTTTCCGGTGTCGCGGGCTCGAACAATTACATCAATGTTCTCGATCAATCGCATGTGTTTTGACGATTGGATTAATGAGACCATACCCGACTTGTCTTTTGAGCTTAGAAGGACGCTTTACAAGCGTGGATATTATTTGACCGATGAAATATATCCAAATTTATTTGTGGACGGAGAGAGTATCAACCAATTTTGAAAACACTAAAAGGTACTCCATAAAATTATTGGCAATAGTCAATGTATTCACGCATTTTACGTACCCGTAAATTTAATCACGAATTTCTTCACCGGTAATTATCCACTCACAAAAATGTGTTTGATATGATTATAATTTTCTCAAAAAAAAAAGTGTTTGATACTATTATTATTTTCCCAAAAAAGTGTATCTGATGTGATTATAATTTCAAATGTATTTGATTTTAAATTATTTCTCCAAAAAAATATGTTTGATATGATTATGTTTGGCAGCTAAGAGTTTTAAATCTGCGCCGTATATTTTTATTTTATGAAAAAAAAAGAAGAGATAAACCCCACTCGGTGGATGGGAAACCAACGGCTTAGCTTAAAACTAGGTGGCGAGTGGCGACCTATACGGCTATACTTCCATTTTTTGTTTTTTTTTCCCACTTGCAATTGCAATGAGCGATTATCGATTTTCTTTTCTTTTCTTCCATTTTTTTAAAAAGTAGTTTCAAAATTAAGATTTATGTCACTCGGAGTATTATTTAAAAAAAATCATAACTTTTCTATTTTGAATATATTTTTTATAATCTTTTGATAAAAAAAGACATATTTTGAAGTAAAGAATTATTTATTTCATAATTTTTATTTTATGATTCTATGTTAAATTTCAAATAAATTGAGCTTAAATAATTTCAATAAATTACCTAGTGAATAATTACAAGTAATCTCATTAAAGGGAGCACTTTTTTTAGGGGTCATGTTTTAAGTTTCACCTTTCAACCATCAAGTCGAGCCTATTTGGGAATAACATTAGCGTTTTGGATAAAATTTTAACGAGGTATATTACTTTGAAAATGCTAGCGCTAAACGTTGCTTGTAGATAGCATTTTCAAACACGTTTTTTGAGACCTCAAACACGCTTCCACTTTCCTACTAGGGGGCATACACAATTCAATGTCCAGATGCGGGATATCGCGGTCTTTTTTTTCTCTCCGAATAATTGCTAGGCGTGTCTATTTGCTACGTTCGACCAACATAGCGCCATCTACGTCAGCCTCAACCGTCAAGACAACCTCTGAAAGCACGTTGGAGACAGCCGCAAGTGCACATTGTCCATAAAACCGACTGTTGGAAAATATCGATTAAATATTTAAAAAGATAAAAAAGAAGAAGAAAGAGAACTCAAAATAAGGAAGAGGACAAAGGAGATAAAAAAAAAGAAGATATGGATGGTGCAGTTGATGCATCCATCATACATGCACGTGAGAGGTTGTATACATGTGATGTTTAAGGGCCCATTTACCATCTTCCTCTTGGATGGGAATCACTATGTATGTATATAACTTGGGTTTTTTAGAATAGCTTGTGTGTGTGGGTTTTACGTACCACCAAGGTAGAGAGAGAAATTTTGGAGGAATTCTACACAAGAATACCACAGGGAAAATCCAAGGGGTCTTGGTGAGTGTGGATGAGTGTAGGAAGTAACTGATTTTAGTTGTTCGAAAAAATATATCCGGGCATAGGATGTGGAAAGATCTATTTATGATTGTGAAATTTAGTCTTGTAAACAAGGGAGAGTTTTTTGTATATTGTCCTGAAATAGTGGAAATATATTTTTTTCTCTCATATATTCTTCTTTTTTTGTTCTCTAATTTTTTTGGTGTTCTCAATATTTTTTGGTATCTTACGCGCTTAAAATCCCAACACCGGTATGGCAGATGGTTGTTCCTCCTTGGCAAAGAACATGATGGCTAAGGAATCCCGGTCACTAATCAAGAAGAAATCCTCCGACAAGGGTTGTCCTGCAGAAAGCAAGACAATTTTGTAATATGTGGGTTATTTTTTTATAAAAAAATTGGCATTCAGGATTTTCGAAAAGAATGACGTTCGTCCTGTTCGTTTGAGTTCGATGAAGGTTCGAAAAGAATGGCGTTCTTTAATGGATTGATTATTCGGCGAGTTCAAAAAGAGTAGCGCCTCCGTTGAAGAAAAAATTTATTTGTTGAAGTGTTCTGATGACACTTGAACAAAAATAATTTGATTATGTCATGTCCAAGCTAGGCATTCGGAACCTCCATGCTCCCGCTCGAGGCATAGCTCTGAGTAGTTTATGGACTGCCAAGCTTGCGTTCTATGAAGTGGGAAGTTTGAATTACAACAAAAGCTTTGAAATTGTACTCTTGAACCCGGTCAGTTGATGTACATTCCGCGATTTATCTCTACCGAACCTACCATCCCGAGAGTCCGAGGGCACCGGGGTGGGAAAAGCGTGGGCCTGGGTCGGGGTTTCTTTTCTCTTTTCTATCGTTCTCGAAATTCGCCCAAGTCAAACAGGGGTACTATTTATGAGGGTGGGGGTACATTGTTGAAGTAGGTCGAAATCAACGATTCTTCAGATCATTTGTGCGTTCAAACTTCAAACCCACGCGATCCTTCGCTGATCCACATATCTCAATGGCTCCCGCCGCCGTCAACCGATGGCTGCGGCCCGAGGTTCGTCCCGATTTCCCCCCCCCCATCCGCCGTCCCCTATGACTTTCTTCATCCCGTATCTCCGGAATCGTTGAGATTTCTCGTGTTCTGTTAGATCTGAATGATACTCGCGTGTGTTCTCGCAGGTTTACCCTCTCTTCGCCGCCGTAGGTGTGGCCGTTGGGATCTGTGGGATGCAATTGATTCGGAACATCTCCACTAACCCTGAAGTCAGGTATAGTCCCCATGTAATTTAACTGGGCAAGGAAATGGAGTAATTGCTGTTCATACCTTTCTATTGCCTTTATCTGTATTTGCGATTCTGGAACTGTAGATTTTTAAATAGATTTAATTGTAATGTATCATATAGATCGTTTCATCGTTTTGTGTTATGATATCTGTGCACCTTATTTTGTTAGGCATTACCACTTTGCTAGGCAGGATAAGCTACATTTAATCCAATTTGTACATCAAAATAGAGATTACAGCATTTAAACAAAGTATATGTACATAATACATTGAATGTGCCATCATAATCATGCATAGAGGATCGGCAAAAGATCGTTCTTTGGAAGAGAAAACAGCATAAAAAAGTATAAACACAACAATATCAATGGAAATGAATATTTTTAGATGAACAGTTACAAATATGTCGTTGGATGTATGTACGCCCAGCTTATCAATGATTTTTTTAATTGAACACAGTGTTATCTCCTCGATTGTACTCCATAAGATTTTATGGTGCTAAAATTGATAGCAAAGTTTTTGCAAATGTACTTTGTCTAAACACTATTGTCTTAAGGAGAGGAAGTGATGGGATGCAACTTATAGAGATGAGCGAAGGGATAATGATTTGTTTGGACTAGATAAGTTTTTTAAAGGAGAAGGATTATAAATGTTTCTTGTTTCAACTATAAAGGAAATTGAGGGAAAACTTATATGTATATGGATTATTATACCCCTGGTTGTGGTTATCATTAAAACTGAAGAACATTTTAGTCTTTACAAAGTTTTGTTTTCATCTCTTTACATTCAACCCCAATTTGGATATTGGAGGCTGGAGTATTGAAGTCCTTTAAATTCCTGATAAGTGCCCTTTTTTCAGTCATCCCATTCCCACTTAGATTTTTTCAATGCATTTATGCTTTTTAAAAGTTCCCTGCTTGGTGAAAGAAACTGACTGTTTCCTACTCGTTTTGCCATGTGTAGGGTTACCAAGGAAAACCGCACTGCTGGCATACTGGAGAATTTCGCAGAAGGAGAGAAATATGCTCAACATGCTGTCAGAAAGTTTGTTCGCAACAGGTCTCCGGAGATCATGCCATCCATCAATGGCTTCTTCACCGACCCTGAATGAAATATTTCAGTCGCATTATGAACCCACATTGGGTTGGTTGCTTTCGCAGCTTCTATTTTTCTAACCTTGCCGGTTAGAACTGTTTCTAAATGGATGTAAGATGCAATTCTTATGAAACTAATTGAACTTATAAGCATGTGTGGTTGAAATGTTTGAATAAATACAAGTTGTTGAGACATTGAGTATATTTGCATCTTGATGTGTATTCTCTCCGTACCTTTATGTAGCATTTGTTAATTCTGTCATTGATCTTGGAGATGGGAGTGGTATGGGAATCAAATTTTTAGGTTTAGGTTGGTTTTGAAGGCCTAACCTCTGAATTATAAACCGAATTGTGTATGGTCACATCTGTTTTGGGTTGGGCAATCTTGAGTTTGGTTCCTTCTCTTATACTGTAATCTTTTTTCAACTTTGAAAATTTAAAAAATGGCAATCAATAACTAACAAATCAGTAAGCTTGCCATTGGAGATGCTCTAAAGTCTAAACAACCACGCAAGCCGTAAAACTACTAAGCGCACAAGATTGAGATGGAGGACTAGCTCCTAAAACCAAAAAGACCCTAACATTTTATTATTCCTCCAACCTAATTTCTTCCAAAGTTTTCTATCTAAAATTATGTCCTCCGTCAGTATTAACTTTAGCTATGTCTAATAATACGTAATCTGCACTTATATTCTTCTTCGTCTTACTTCCACCGGTTTGAATCATAGGCTTGCTCAACTCACACCTTTTAACTAGTGCATTATCACATTTCCTCTCTACTTGATCGAACCTCATCTTAACCCCGCTTCCCCCATTTTCTTCGCCGTGGAGACAACTCTGACTATGTCCCATATAGTGTAATTTGTGATCATCTTTTGCATCTTATGCTCATGTATCCACATCAACATTCAAATATCTGCACTCTCATCTTCTAAACCTGAACGCGCTTAACTGACCAACATTATGTTCCATAAAAACAATGTTTATCCTAACTAGTGCATTATCACATTTCCTCTCTACTTGATCATCCCTCATCTTAACCTCGCTTTCCCCATTTTCTTCGCCATGGAGACAACTCTGACTATGTCCCATATAGTGTAATTTGTGATCATCTTTTGCATCGTATGCTCATGTATCCACATCAACATTCAAATATCTGCACTCTCATCTTCTAAACTTGAACGCGCTTAAGTGACCAACATTATGTTCCATAAAAACAATGTTTGTCCTAACCGCAATTGTGTATAACTTACCTTTCAAAATATAAAACCTTTTTTCATACAAGCACTCTAGACTCTATAGGTAAACCTTTTAGCTTGAAGCTTTCTCTTTAATGTTGTCCTGCAAGCACTTTCTGCTTATGCATTAACATTCTATATTTACCCTCAAGCCCCTCACACGGCATTTGGCATGCTCATTAATAAATTTATAACCTGCAAGTCTAGTTGAAGACTGCCAAGTAAAAGGACAAGATGACCAACTTTGTTAACTCTGTCATTGATCAAAAACTTATCATTGATGACAATACAAAGGAAGATAGTGTACTTGAGATGTGAGATACATCAAGAAACAAAACAAAAAGATCGAGTGTGAATGAAAAGAATACATGGGAAACTCTGTGCTGATGATCGTACAAGCTGCAGTTGACAGGAGGAGATGAATGAATCAAGGCGGGCCAGGACGGATTTGGTCATGCTTATTCTCATCAGCTGCAACATACCAAGAATTCCACGCCTCAACGTAATGACCAAATAGATCACTTGCAGCTGTGACATTGATCAACAAAACACGGTTTTTTTCAACTCAGTGATACGGAAGTTGTTTGCACAATGTTAAATAAGAGAACACATACACCCTCCGTCCAAAAATTATTGATGTTTGAGAATAGTGCACACATTAAGATGCATTGTGCAATGACCCTTCTATCCATATTTCAGTTTAGAATTAAATGCCTTTTCTGACTTCTCATGGTACAAAAGCACTTAATGTAAGAAGAGTTAATATGGGCATATTTGGAAGATTAGTAAAAACATACATTGAATTTTAAAATGATAATTACTTTTGGGAAAACCGTTTTTTGTTTTGCTCAAACAAGAATCAGTTTGGGGCGGAGGAGGGAGTACAATTATAAGAAGTCAATCAACGGTGCCGTTTTGATCATGAATGTAATGGAGTACGGAGTATAACACTAGAACAGACTGCAAACAGCTGTTGCAAACTTTTAAGTTAATCATGTTATACTGATCTTATGAAATTGATAGCATGCCGTCTATAGTTGGTCAATCCCCTCAAATTTTTTTAAGCATTGGTGGAAAGGGAAGTCATTCACAATCTAAATATCAGGTTTTGGAGATTACCTTTGTTGCAATACCGAGGGCGATATGTAGAAGCCAGGTTCTCCCAGTTGTGAATATGCCCACTGCCACTTATGTTTACAAGAACTTCTCTTGGTACACTAATGGGACTGAAAGGACCAAACTCAAAATCCTTAGTAACCTGTTTATGCCGCTCAGGCGACACTTTACTGTTTTCATCCTTAAAGTAACCCTGTTTTGCTTGAGGCCCATAGTCACATGGCTTCACATCTGCTGAGGAATCAGCTTTGTGTCTCTTTGACATGGTGTTTGTAATGTCCGCCCCAAATGCCCTTTTCAAACCATTCCCGTTGGCCACACTACTAGATCCACTCCCGGGATTTCCTACTTGTCCTATCCATCGGAATGCTGGTTTTCCACTTTCTGGGTGACGAATCTGAAAAGTTACACAAGTCATCAAAAATAAAAATAAAGATATCGTCATACTTATCTGCAACGACTATGAAATTGTGCATTGTAACCAACCTTCTCAATGAGGTTCATGGATGCAAATACATTTGCAATGTCATACAGGCGCCTAACCTTTGCTGCAGATTATATAGGGAAAATGTCAGTAGAAATTAAGAATGCAATTGCATGGCCTTTTGACATTTAATATAAATACTACATCTGTCCTTGTAAAAGTCCCAATCTTTTAACCAAATTCATTTTGGAATGGCTTCATATTCATACGTAATGTAGCATTGAAATTACGTATTGAATGTCCCAACAAAAAATAGTAAATACACAAGTTCCAATGCAAATAAATCATATCTCCTAAGTTTTGCATTCTATCAAGATTTGACAGAGGGAGTAGGGAAAAAACTAATCCTTACTTGGAAATTGGAATTTGTGGAAATCAAAGGAAAGAAAAATGAAATAAAAATTGTCATGCCCTTAGAGAGAAATAGAACTTAGAAGAGCTAGAGCAAGCATAATATGTATGTCGAGAAAGTACTACTCCCTCCGTCCCACAAAACATTTCATGTTTTAATTTTTATGGGATAGGTTAAAGTAGATGTGATGGATAGATTTGTAGTGAAAAATGTGACGTGATAGGTAGGTTAAGAACTAGTAGGGGTAAAAGTGACTTTTTAATAGAAATGAGAAAAGTTTTTTGGGACGGATGAAAAAAGAAAGGAGAAAGGTTTTGTGGGACGGAGGGAGTAATTAATTTACTCTCTGGAGTATCTGGTTTTTTTCCCATTCTCGATAAGAAGTTATTTGATAATGATGGAGCAGCAAGATAATTTTCTCCCCCTATTTCCCCTTCGTTTTTATTCCCTTTCGTTTTCCTAAATTTCCTCTTGTATTTCCCCACATTTTCCAACCATCTAACTATCTAAGAGCGCCATAAGAGAAAGGAAATTACTTCTCATGGCAGTTGGATCATGCATATTACCAAGCAAAGCTGATGCAGCACTGTCAAGCGATATGAATTCTACCTAAGGGAAATAAAGAAGTATTAAGCGAACTTTAATAAGCAACTTAAAAATAGGAAAGTTTAAGACACTGTTGTAACCATGGCTGGTCCACTTACATCGGAGCAAAGAAAAAGCTTCACAAAGTTCTGTGTGAGAAGTGCCAACGATTTTTCCTTCCTGTTGTCTATACAATCAAGCATGAAATATTACAAATTAATATTTCCGTGTGAGAAAGTACACAATCTAAGTTCACTCTTGCTTTTCCCAAAACTCATGAAAGATTACAAACTAATCTTATTCCAGAGAAGGGAACAAAAACCAAGCATGACATTAGACTTTCCAAAGTTCTTATGATTTTAATCAATGATACAATAATCGTGACTTGTTAAAGGAAAAGAAGCCAGTAACCTCCTTTAACCAATTCATGTGCGTTATCTTGTGTGATGCTTGCGTTTAAAGTCTGTTGGTAATTATTTTCCCTTGAAACCTAGATAAAGGAAACATGCTTATCAATTTGCAAGGTAATAAAACAAGGAACACTATTAAGACACAACAAAATAATGGAATCTGAAAGGGGAGCAAAATGCAGCTGCAAGCCACATACACTAGCAATCTTTTGGAAACCGAGCTTTTCTCTCAAACCTTCCTCCTGCAAATGAATGAAAAGTTGAAGCAACATAAGATAATCCAATCATCATTCACCCACAAGAAAAAATTACTACTACAAGAACCTTAAGTGCATCCAGAGTCGGAGGAACTGCAGTGAAACCCTTCCATGTGTACTGATTTTTAGCTCTTCTGGACAGCAACTGGAGAGAATGTCACAGTTAGCTTGCAATTCCACAAAGCGCAACTTATTTTTATATGTAATGTCAAAGAGAAATACCCCAACACTTTCGAGAATGTTAACAATATCGTAGATTCGGCGTCTTTCAACACCTACACCCACAAATCACAATTGAAAAAGCATATATAAACCCTGTTAACCATAGATTTCCTGTGCAGAGTTGAAGAGAATCAAGAGATAATACAGAAATTAAACAGCATAATACAAGAATCGGATAGAGCAAAGACCTAATTGATCCGCCGCATGATCCAATCCAATGCAATCCACGCCGTCTCGGTTGTACAGCCTCAGGAAACTGAGGAAAACAATTTTTATCAGTCCAGTAACAATTTCTAGCGGCGAATCGCGCATGTTCATACATACTGCAACATGAAACAAAAACTGGAGAGTTAGAGAGATACTTGGAGCAAAGAACGCCGAGAGATTTCTCCTTGCGGCTGTACAAGCTGGTGGTAGGGTTTTGAGATTGTGAATCGCTATTGAGTGAGGATGACATTCCTCGCTATAAGCTTGAGTCCTGCGTCTCAATCCGAACTTCTGCGGAACGGAATCGGGGGAAAAGACGGAGGAATTGGACGGAGGCGACGGGAGAGAGGAGAGGGCATTCCCGTGGCGGGCTCCTGGAGGTTCAAAATTCGGATTCGGATCCTACATAGCCCGTCCCCGTAAAACTGTAAATTGTAAAATCCTCCCGCCCCGCCAGCGGCTATGCGCGACTATTTTCAGTTTTTCACCCTTTTTTTCGTATTTCTTTTTTCATATTAAACTCTACTCCGGGATATAATTTTAATTGTAAATCACATTCAACTTGCATGAATATTTTTTTTACTTTGATATAATCTTTATTTAATTGATAATCAAAGTTTCTTCTGTTTGACTCGAAAAATTTAAACTGCACGAATATTTTGAGGCAAAGATAATACAATTTATGTCCTGTCAAACCCAATATATATGAATTATTTTTTCAAAGATGGATCTTCTTTAATTACTCCGTACTTACAGAGAATAAAGTAATATTTACGCTTGAAGGTCATGTTCTCTTCACCTGATCTGAATGAATGGTTTTGATCTGAATGAAATAAATTCTGATCTCATCTGAATGTAATTATTTTTAAAATTGTTTCTGATCTAATCGGATTGCAATAAGAAAAAATAATACTCCGTAAGTAATAAGAATAAATTGAAGAGAACATGACGTAAGACCCAAAAAATGAATCGCCTTATTCCTTTGTAAGTAGTACTCTTTATGATATAAATCACTGAATTCAAACATTTTATGATTAGAAACAAGCTGGAGTTGTAGATTTTTTTTCATTAACTCAAAAAAAAAAACCTACAATATAAAAACTTGAAAATATGAGTTTATCAAGGAAGCTTTGCACTTAGTCTTCAACCAAATATGATGAGTCTTGAAGTTCCTCAAAACCTTGCACTCACTCCCACCATCTCCAAATGCTACTGGTAAAAGACCATGGAACAGATGAAACTTCTTCATTTCCTTGATGTACCAAAGCTAATTTTATGTTCAAAAATAGTGGGAAACAATGCATTAAACATTTGATTACAAAAAAAAATGCAAGAACACATATTCTATTTGCCTGAAGTGTCTGTCTACTTACACTTTCATCCGCGTGCCTATAAGCGAACACTATGAAATTTTGTCAAGATCCAATTCTGTTAGCTACCCTTGACGCATTCCACCTGGATTGTCAAGTCCTTCACGCCAGCATCGCGTAACAAATCCGCTACTTTGTTCTTTGCAGCAATCTTGTCGGTGCCAGTTGAGACGCGGAGGTGAGCAGTGCCAACAACTTCTGTGTTTGTGAAGCTCCAAACATGCAGGCTCTGAATGTCAAGCACACCTTCCATCTTCCTGATATTGCTTGTGGCTTCTTTCAGGTCGCGTTCGTGGCCTCTGGGAACTCTCTGCAGCAGGATTTCTGCAGAGTTTCTGAGCAGGGGGATGACTGAGGACACTATCAGTACAGATATGAAGATTGAGCAGGCTGGATCTGAAACAAGCCACCCTTTGTATTTGATCAGCAGTGTTGAAATCACCACCCCCACACTTCCCATCGTGTCGGCTAGCACGTGCAGAAAGATGCCTTCCATGTTATGGTCAATGTGGTGGTGGTTGTGATGGTGGTGGTGGTTCTCTTTTTCACCACTCTTTAAGGGTCTGTCTGGAGTCTCGAAATTACTAGGGAAAGAAAACATGAAGGAAAATTAGTAGAATATATTATAAGGGGAAGCTAAAAGATAGACTCAAAACTTCAAAAAATCTATTTTTAGATATTTGTTCAAACTTATTTCGTTCTCTCTTTTTTCCAAGGTAAGACCAATCAACAACAAACCTAGCATAATCCCGAGTCCATATATTGGAGTCGTGATGTACACCACCTTACATCTATTACTAAAATAAGTCATGTTACAGTGACACCACTCATTACATCCGGTTTGACACCACCAATCTCTAACAGACATGCATAGACAATCATGTCTGTGACTGTCTTTGTCTGTCTGTCAGCCATGGTGGTCTCAACCTTGGTGTTATGGGTGGGTATAATTACTCATAATAAAAACAGAGTCTCTGTTACACCTATGCAAATACTACCCTAAGCTTCATAGAATGTAAGAGGTAGGGGAAGTTTAATGTGTCATTTTGATTTAAGCCATCCGATTTACCAAGAGCCAAAATATTGTCAAAACAATGGCTCATTTATCCCCCCATTTGGTAAGATAAAACCACACATAAGAAAATAATTTTTCTTAGCAACATCATTCCTTTCCGTAACATATTCTGAGATCCAAACATACCCTAAATCAACGTTTTCATGGCTATGCGAGCGAGAGCGCGAGCCCTCATGGCAGTCATGGACAACGGTAACGTGTTCTTCCTTGTGATCATGTGAATGATGATGGGAATGTGGTTGCGCACATGAAGCGGGCCCACCATGGGGACTAGAACACGAGTCGTCATGGCAGTCATGGACAACAGTAATGTGTTCTTTCTTATGATCATGTGAATGATGGTGGGAATGTGAATGTCCACATGAAGCGGACCCACCATGAGCATGATGATGTTCCTCATGAAAGAAAATCAAGCCTACAATGTTAACAATGAGCCCTCCAACAGACACAGACAACAGACTGTTAGTAGAGATCTCCTGAGGGTCTAAAATCCTCTCAAACGATTCGAGAACAATCAAAGCTCCAACGAGTACCAGGAAAACAGCATTAACATACCCAGAGAGAACCTCAAACCTCCCACGGCCATAGTTAAACTGGGCATTAGCTGGCAAACGGGATATGTATGACGCATACAATCCAATAGCAAGGGCAGCACAGTCAAACAACATGTGGCAAGCATCTGATATCAAACCAAGACTATTATTCATAAACCCTACAACAAACTCAACAACCATGTACATTGTATTGATCAAGAGAAAAAGAGCAATCTTTCGGGACTTCCTTTCCCTCAAGATGTGGCGAAGTGGGCTCATAACGGAAGCATTCAACGACTCGGGTGATTCAAACCCTAACTCAAGATGATTAGAAGGATCTAAATTTCTGACGGCAATCCAGAGCAAGAAGCCACAAATCAACAGTCCCCAGAGTGAAAGCTCAGGAAAATAAAACAGTTCCAAGATAAGTGTACACGCATAAGTGACTATATACTCTCTCTGAAAATCTTTTGATGGAAATGGTTTGTCATCTGTGTAGTTCTCACTCAAAAGCACACCAAACAGTACTGTATTCACCAAGGGCCAGCCAAGATTCGATAAAGAGACATTTTCGCCCTCTGCTTCGAAGACAACCATACTCACAGCAGCAGGTATGAAAAGCAAAACTGTAGTGTACAACAATGAAATCAACCGAACCCGCTTCTGCCCAATTTCCCTTAAAGTTGTGGGGTTCATTGTAATCCGATCGTAGCACCCCAAAAACCCAGACAAAAAGGGAAGCAACATAGGCCAAACCCTAACACAATTTCCACTAGCAAAAGCTGAAATTCCCAACTTATTAATATTCACAGACGACAGAGGGAAGCATTCAATTCTGTCCCAACTCACAGATAAAAAAAACAACCCAAAGAACATAGCTATAAACCCACCGATTCTAGATGATCCGAGATTGCCCGGATCACCAAAGTTTTGATTTTTTCTTCCACAGGCTATGCACCGAGCAGCCACATTGCCGGACAGTTCTGCCAAAATCATTGCTGCGGCGCCGCAATATCTGAGAGCCTGGAATCTGAGAAGGAAGACCACAGCTTGTAGAATTGACTTAGCCAAAAGATGAATATGTTGAGATTGGGTCATAGAGGTGAGGGAGAAGATAGGCAGGCGTTGCTTTTGGCGAAAAGGGTCTCTGGAATAAGAAGATGAAGAAGATGAAGAAGGGTAGGCAAAGAGAGAAAAGAGTAAGGTGAGAACAAAAGAGAAGAGGGAGACGAGGAAAGAAAAGGGGAAGATAGAAAAAGACGACGGAGACGAGCGGAGGAAAGGGAGGAGAGAGTACAGAGAGCGGAGGGAGAAGAGGAGAAGGAATAGGAAGGAAAGGGATGAAGTCTTGTTGCTGTGAGAAGAAGATTTCAGGGGAAGAAGAGCAGAGGCGCGAGCTTTCGATGGCGTGGGAGTGGGTGTTGAAGGAGGAAAGAGAGGGGTTCTAAGAGTAGTGGCCGGAACGGCGGTGCGCTGCGGGAGAGACAGGCGGTGCGGGCGGTAGTGGTGGTGGTTGTGATCGTGATCGGCCATTGTCTGCGGCTGAGAGGGGGCGATTTAGGACTCGGGAAGTCGCAGTGCAGAATTTCCGATCAGACACTCATCTGAGTTCTGACTTGGAACCCGGAAGAACACTGTGAAAGTCGACGGGTTTTGTATTGGGCTAGCCCGTACCGATTATCTGTAACAACAATTGGGCTATTTGATTGGGCCAAATAATCTATATTGCCGCTACTCGCGACCATACATGTTCACGGTCATTAATCTGAAGTAATTTTTACTCTCTTCGTTCCAAAATATTTGCAACATTTGCTTTTTCAACAGTCACGAGAACTTTAGTTTATTTCTATGTTTTTATTGATTATTTGATAAAATAAAATATTCTTGACACCTCTTATTTCGAAGAACTTTTCATGTAGTTTTTTGATATGTAAATTTTATTTTTTATTTCTATGCCAATAAGTAAATAAAATGAATTGAAAAAACTTGATATTTTACCTCGGGAATACAAGTGTGGTAAATATTTTAGTACGGGGGAGTATTTAAAATGACGACAACTTTAGAAAAATAAACCCAGATTGATTTGAACATTTGGAGTATTTATCAATTTATCAACATAGAACGGAAGGATCAAAAGAAGTCTGCTGTTAAAATGCAGCCCAATTTTGTGGATATTGGGTTTCAGTGGCCACGGAACCATTGTCTCTTAATTCAGACACTTATGATGTTCCGTTCGTAAAATTTATGATTCATATTCCTCTTAATCTTCCGATAAACACCCAAGTCCAGGCCCAACCTCAACTCATCTCCACACTTACGTCAATTGCACCCTGCAATTTTAGTTAACTTTGAAATCAAAACTTTAATCTTTAAAGTCAACTATATACTTGCGGGGTGCAATTTAGTGGCCATTGAACCCAACCGATTAAAATTATCCAAATATAATGTTCATAATGAAACCAATAATACTCGAAACGGGTAAAATCCAAATCCGATTAGAACTTGTTAATTTATTTGGGGTTGGCCCAAACATATTAATAATATTTGACACCCAACCCAGCAGCCCATTTACTCAAGCCCAACATTTACTCCTTAACCTAATTAAGCTTGCCTTAATTACCACCCTAATCTTCACTATACATTGAGGGGGCTGCCTTGAGTTTTTTCACCATGCAAAAAATCCTTCATTCTCTTTGTGAGTCTTCTGTGTGGGTTTTTTCTCTTCCTCTGTGTGGTCTCTCTGTTCTTCTCCGTTTCTCTGTGAGTGGAGTATGGCGAAGTTGGGTTGGGGTGTTGCTCCTTTTGGTACCCCTGTAGTGCACAACTACGGACCGATTTTTACGGGTGACCTGAACTTAATCGGAATAAATAAATACACATAACAGAACTGAAACCGATAATATCCGAAACCGATAAAATATAAAGTTGTGTTTGCCTTTCAATAAGCATATTATATTTTTAAATTTTCTTTGATTTTGTTGACTCCAAAGAGGGATGCATGTCACTATTAGATAGAGATGATCAAAGTGAGAGAAAAATTTAGACATATGCCCAAGCCCAAAGAGTACAATATCAGAGAGAGGTATGACTGGCTACAAGACACAAGGGAGGTACCAAGGTGGAAAGATACTGTGTGGAATGCTCTGACACCCCCTAAAATGCAGATTGTGACTTGGTTGCTTATGAAGGGAAGGCTGCAAACAAAAGAGAGAATAGGCAAATACCTTGATATTGACCAGAATTGTGTATTGTGCAGACAAGTAAAGGAAACAGACAGGCATCTGTTTTGGGAGTGCAGTGGGGACTCAATAAATTATTAGCTCATGCCTGTCTAAGTTGAATTTTCAGGCGGGGTAACCAGCTGGCAGCTACTTTAATTAGTTACTTTAATTATAAGAGGATGAGTTAAGTGTTGGTGTTTAAACCACTTGTATTCATGTTTGATGTGGAATAAAAGGTGTGCTTTTGTGCAAAAAAAAAAAACTTTTTTGTTATTAACAAAATTAAATGTAATAAAATATTTGAAAAACAAGGTGAAGCATCAGTTGTGATGGTGTAAATATAGATGGGTGGGTTCACCGGGTTTGACCTGGACACTCGACCCGTAATATAAAACACACAACAAGAACACAAAGTATGACTTAGACCGGGTAAATCTCCTCAGTCCGAAATATATTTCTTACCCTGTCTCAAGAGTGCACTAGTTTTAGTGAGAGAAAGAATGGATCCCCTCCTCTATGCAATATCATCATATTTATAGAGGAGGATTTGTGACCTTCCCCTGTTCACTCACGGACAAGATAGGAAACCAGGAGGAAGGCCACTGTACATAATCTAATCACTGTTCAATCATAGACTTGCTACTAATACAACCAAGGAGCACTGTTCAATCAAGGACTATAACATGGATATTCTCAATCCAATCAGCCCTGCAAGGTGACATACATCCCTTTCACTGTTTGTCTCGTGATGGGCGAACGGTGGGGTGGTCCCTCCATCTTTGACGTGGTTCACCATGCCTGAGATACTGGATCAATCTTTGTAAAGTGAGATGATATGACCGATCACCTTTTCTCAAAGGTTGACCGGTCATTTTGGTCTTCTGGGTTCTTCGCAACATTAGGTGACATTTTGGTTATCGCCCAAAATGTGACCGGTCACTTTTTTAGTGGAAGTGACCGGTCAATATTTGACCCGTCCCAATTGAAGGGTTAACATCATTTGATGACTGATAAAAGTGACCGGTCATATTTTGACCTGTCCCTTTCAGTTATCCGGGTCGGGTATAAGGATATACCCATCAATAAGTCCTCCACTTACCGGCCTTGTGAGGAAATCATCAAGGGCGAGAAGTATACTTGTGTTGACCTATCACACTTTGAAATCATCAAGTCATTCTTGCTGACCAGTCCTTCCACATCATCAAGCCTTTCCCTCTAAGACCTGTCCTTATTTGAAATCATCAAGCCATTCTCGTTGACCTGTCCTTCTTTGAAATCATCAAGTCATTCTCGTTGACATGTCCTTTGAAATCATCAAGTCATTCTCGTTGACCTGTCCTTTGAAATCATCAAGCCATTCTCGTTGACCTGCCCTTCTTTGAAATCATCAAGTCATTCTCATGACCTGTCCTTTTTTGAAATAATCAAGCCATTCCCATGACCTGTCCTTCTTTGAAATCATTAAGTCATTCCCATGAACTGTCTTTCTTTAAAATCATCAAGTCTTTCTCATGACCTGTCCTACTTTTGAAATAATCAAGTCATTTCCATGACCTGTCCTTTGAGATCTTCAAGTCTTTCTCATGACCTATCCTTTGAAATCATCAAGTTTTTCCCATGACCTGTCCTTCTGGCACTTTGGGGCTCCTCAGACCTGACACTTTGTGGATCATCACACCTATCACTTTGGAGTTCATCAGACTTGGCACTTTGGGGCTCCTCAGACCTGACACTTTGTGGATCATCACACCTATCACTTTGGAGTTCATCAGA